GGAGAATTTTCGAAATTTGAAGAACGCAAATCCAAGAAGTTGAATTTCAGCGGAACGGCTTAAAGTCAAAAAGCTTCGGGATCTTAGCCCTTGACTTCAAACGCACGAGGCCCAATCCTCAAACGATGGCAAAACGTGGAAAATTTTCGAAATTTGAGAACGCATATCGCTTACATCTTTGCCGTGCTTAGTTTCTTATTTTGGGGAGGTGGGGCATCCTAGTGGGAGGGATGTTATCGGACGCTCCAAGCTAGTACTTATTCGTAAATATTTCAAGTCAAGTGGGAGTGTCTTCGCTGATGGTCCTGGTCCATATCGTTTGCGTTTTTGTGTACATTGCAGGCATTCAATCGCTGCGATCGTGTAGGTCCAGCATGATCTACACAGAGGGATCTTGTTCATTTGGATCATTTTTTTCAATTTTCAACATCATCTTGAAACACCTTATTCAGTAAATCTCATCTCTCAAGAACTACAGACTTTTGCTTTTTCTCACAACAGATAACGTGTCGACGAGGAGGCTGAGAGGACGAAGAAAGGACAACTAGAACTACAATAATTAGACGAACGTAGGACTTTTCAGCAAAGTCAGTATCTCTATTGAGTGGAATTGTAGTGAGGACTTCCATCAAGTCTCTGAGGCGGCGAGCGGCAAATAAGTTCGTGGATTACTGCCTGCTTCTAAGTGTAAGGACAACTACAATACATGCAAACTTTACTTCTATCTTTGCAACAGCGCTGTGGTCAACTTTCTCAATGTCCAACATCTTTCGTCTAAAGCTCTTCTTGTCCCAATTTGTGACTCATTTTTCGGATCCCATGTGCCTAAACTGCTCCAATATCATCAAGTCGGTCCTCGTAGTTCAATTGGTAAATGCTATTAACACTGGCGGTGACCTTCATAAGTATTCATGATGGACATAATACTGCGATCTTCATCATCTTCATCTGACCCTGGTGTTAGTCTTTGACACCTTAAGCTTAATCTACTTTTCAAAAATTATGATGAAGATGTAAGAACAACAAGATGTTGAAGTACTAATATTTTTACAACAATGACTCCCTCCATCATAGACTAGTATCAAAATTTCCCCCACATTTTCTGGCGTGTGCTAAATCCCCTTTTTAGATACGTTCATACCTCGACGGTCGATCATTCAGTATCAAAATAGAACTCCAAGCTCTAGTCCCCGATTAATATGATCTAGTCCTCTAGTACCATGACAGACTTTTCTAAGCTGAAGTACAAGAAGAACTAATTTCAGGGAAAACGAGTACTTGTCTTGAGGTGATGCTCCGGACAACTTGTCAAGTGACAACTTCGGTCTCCCGGAAACTAACCAAGCTGTATCGTAGATGTGCCACCTGGCGGTGCACGTTTATGCATCCGCTGAAATTTTTCTTCCAACGCTCTTGGCGCACTGGCACCGGCACCCGGTCTTGTAATAGCTGGTATACTGTCGCGGTCACCGCCTGTTATGGATGACGAGGGAAGATAGGCTTAGGCTGTATGGTTCTGGTATTTGGTGACCTGAGTTCGATCCTAAGGGTTCTCTTCTTGTTTTCCCTTATGATCCATTAAAAATTACCAAAGATGATATTGCTCGTTCCTCCTGGAGGCATTCGACCGGAAAGCGTGGTCGCAACTTCCTCAGCTGGAAACATTCTCCTTGTATCCGCAGCTATACTTTGTCGATTGAAAATCTGATGTCGTGAAAAAGGGTGTAGTTGGTTGTAGACGTTATATCATCCACATTATATTTTTCATTACGAACAATTATGTGGACATAATACGCTTATGAGACAGGGCGCTGTAAGAAGTGCATCTACTTCTACATTATTCATTACGACCTAGTAGTTGGGTTGTAACTGTAAGTGCATCTACATAATTCAGTACTATAGTAAGTGCATCTACATAATTATTCAGTACGACCTGCTAGTGGTAGTTGCACATTGTCCTCCGTCGATGATGCGCAGGTATGATCAATCATGCTCTAAGTAAAGCAAAGGGACGAAGCCAGTTATTTGTGCTGGGGGTCCTCATGTGTCTGCCCCTGATATGATCATTCGTGATCACCGTAGAGACAAGATGGCGGCTGACTCCAAGGTCAACAGCATCCCCCATATCAGCCCAGCTGGTCATGTCATGTGCCCTCGTTAACTACGTGGTCAAGTAGTTTTGAGGCCTTTCAGTCGAATTGTACCTTCTCCTTCTAAAAAGAAACAAATACATTATGCTGCAGTCCACCAGGTGGTAACCTCTCCTGGTCCCGAGCCTCCTCATCTCGAGGAAACATTCTGGGGTCGGTGTCTAAGCTCGCTCGGTTGAAGATCTGAGTGAAGGTGTGAAAAACAGGATCTTGTTCTTCTATCAGGTCTACATGATGAAGAGGGTCTTGTTCTTCTATCAACATTCATAATTTTTTACTAATTTATTAGGCCACGTCCAGGTTGTAGAAGTCTGTAGACTAAGAACGAATTTTCGCAAGAAATTCCAGATGTAGTACTGGGGAAGTTGTAGAAGTGATGATAAGCGAGTCATAAAGGAAGTTCTGACTACATTATGCTGCAATCCTCCAGGAGGTAGCCGTTCATTTTCCCTCAACGGAGAATTATCGAGACCCATAGTCGCTTGTCCTTGTCTGCATTCCTCTTTATTTGCTTCTAAGCCGGCCGCATAAGGCGAACCGTGGGGCCATGAGGGAGCTGTGTGATGTGACCATGAGAAACGGTTTTAATATACGGTTTGGGACTTCAAATTTTTTGAGTTTTTGCTGAGACGAACTAGTTTCATGGCTGTAGTTCAGGAACTGAGAAGTATGCTATAGTTCTGTATAATTGAAAGCAGAGCAATTTATAAGGTTTCACAGTCCGCCGCATGGCATGGAGTGCATGGATCACATGGAGTAGCATGGAGCTAAAGGGGGAGCTTCTTGCGCCCCTTAAAGCTCTGCGCCCCATGATGCACTCCATGCTACTCCATGCACCATGCGCGCTATAAACTACTTACGTCCCGCCGGCCTGACATGGCTGTAGTTCAGGAACTGAGTATGCAATAGTTCTGTAATATTGAATACTTAAGTAAGTACGTTCCGCCGGCCTGACAACAGGGCTTGGCTTTGCGCTTCCTAGATGCAATGCTGAGGGTCCCCCTACTGGTGGCGCATCATAGTCGATCCTCTGTGGCTCTGGGACGTCGCTAAAGCGATAGGAATTCTTGAAAGTCGGCTGTTCCCGAATTTCGTGTGGCATCTGTGGCAACAAGAAAGTGTGAATGGATCATGGATGTGGGACACTCATCTGTGGGATAAGTCATGGATCATGGGGCTTACTAGTACAACTACTGCTCCACCTCCTCTGAGGCTTCAGATAGAATTACCAGCACATCTTATTTAACACTTCTGCATCTTTATTAACACTTCAGTCATTGTCATTCCTCCAAAGGACCACTAGGGGGTCATCAACTTTCTCACTACCGGACTAGGTGTTCCAAATTTGTGGTGTTGTATTCCTCCTGTGGGCATTTGCCCTCTCGAAACTGCCTCTCCTGGAAGAGGCGGCTTTGACGGTGCCGAATATTTGCCAGGCCTCGTTCTCGCTTCGGTTGGTGAGGACTTGATCGCCGATGAAGACCCGTCGTCTGTGGTGTTCTTGTGGCAATTATTTGGAATTGGATGTAATATTGAGTGTAACTTACTACTTATTTGGTGGATCATCATGTAATATAATCTTTGATTTTAGTGTAAATTAGTACTAGGTGGAAGATGAAATTGAAATCTAAATCATCTTCCTATGTTGGAGGTCCACGTCCACTAAAGATGCTCACGAAGCAACAAGTCAACTCAAGGACCTCCCTGCTTTGCAAAACCTTAACAAAGCAAACAACCAACAGTAACTTGTAGGTACCAAAGCAAATGCTGCTCTTCCCACCTGGCGGCGCGTGGACTCGAGTTGTCGGATAGCCGGTCATGACGTTACCGGAATTTTGGTCGTGGCCTCTGGCATAGCGATTAGCGGATACAGTTATCGACTCTATTTCACCGCCACCGAGCGTGAAGGTTGTATGCCCTCCTGGCGGAGCGCGGACGCGCTCGTTCTCCGGCATTTGGATGACTTACTTGTTTGAATAAGCAACGTTTCTGCCAGTTTCTCTTATTTCACTACAACTCCTACTTTATAATCTATTGAAAAGGGCGAATTGTGTTTAGAAACATAAGGGACTACAACCCGCGGCTTCTCTCATGGCTCAAACGGTCTGCAAACGCAGAGTTTTTCTTCACGTGCTAGCAAAAACTTCTCGATCGAGTATCTCTATCACGACTCTTATCATCTTTTCTTTTTTGCACGTTTTACAATTGTTTTCACGCCGTTTCTACGCAACAAGCGAGCCGAATTGTCAATCGACGATTCATCTATGCGTCCGAGCAGTGTGATCAAACTCAAGGTCGCAGTGCCTCCACATATACGTCTTCGACGAGCTCCATACCGATATTCTGAACACGCAGGTCTGTCAGACGACTCTCATCCTCTACCTTAAGAAGACAAACAGCAAATCGCATTCCTGCTTTATCGTCAAAATATCGCGTTCTCTATTACGTGTCAATCTGATGCTGATCTGTCATCATGTTTTGTTTTGTTCGCGATATTCGTCAAAGAAGTCTTTTCGGCTAAGTAATTATCTTCATGTTTGAGGGTTCGTCCTTCAGTACTCGCTAGCGGGTCGTCGTCATCCATACATCAAGAAAATGAGGACCTAGTAGTAATCATAAAACGTCAAATTCCGATACATTGCCAATAAATCTGTGTGGTCCACCAATCCCCTATCCTGCTTCCCATAGCTAAAATGCACAGCAATCGCACTGCCCACTGCGATTGCTGGTCTCTGTAACCTGTGTGGCTGCACGTAGCTCATCTGGCTCTCATCGTCCAGTGCGAGTTTGTTGTAGTCGATGTCAGCTAGATCTGCTGCCTTGAACGCGAAAAAGTTGATGCTCCAACGGCTGTTCTGCAGGGGGACGATCTCGGGGAGGTGGAAGGAATGAAAGGGGAGATTGCAACTCACGGTCGACTTTACTAGTAGGTCGTCAACGTCGTTCACACACCTCTTGATACTAGCGTCGCACTTCTGTACGCAAACTGGTATATTACCAGCATCTTTAATATTATTACTTCTAATTCTATTGTACTTACAGTTACGTCAATATTATATATCTCAGGGACACTCTGATGTCTCGATATCAATTTATCGCTACTTCGAGATGAAGTCATAATCATCCTCTTGTTCGCCTCCATGCCTGTAGTTCCCGTACCCGTACAGGTGAAAGTTGTACCGGTGAAATTTGAACGCATCCAATGTTTGGGAGTGGTAGTGGTACAGAAACGCCCTATGCACCCACTCGGCACATTCCCATCTGCCCCAAACGCAAGTGCCTTGAGGGTGCTTCTCAATCTGCGGTGCCCATGGCTCTGGTTCCTCTTTTGGAGTATCTACTACGACAGAACCATTAGAGTCCTCCAGAATTCATCTTGAGATACATCTTGAAACTGCATTTCCCTTGCGGAAAAACTTCAACTACAAGATGCTTCAAAAGACGCCTTAAAACCAGGATGATCCAGACCTTGTTGTTGCTTCTTTTTCTTCGCTTCTTGACTTTTTCGAAAGGTTTCATCTTCTTCGGCTGCAGACTGGACAGCCCGTGTGCGTTCGTCGAACTCGTTTAGCATGCCGAGGGAGGTTAGAAATAGTAATAGACGAGCAGATGTAGTAAGTAGTTTCATATGAAGAGAAATCTTCAGGTAGTTCTTGAATCACAATCATAAGGTGCTTCTTTGGAGGTAAATAACACAAACACTGGATGAAGATTCTTATTCATCTACTATCAACATGATACTCGCTACATCAACGTACTCGCTACATCAACGTGCATCAACATCTCCAGTTGTAAGTATTTTCTCGTCCATACCTGTGTCTGCATTTTCAGTATTTTCTCGTCCTCTGCTTCCCATTGCGGATAAATAATAGGTCCGTACTCATCAGGCACTGCACCCAATTCGTTATGGACTGCGGAGAGAATCGCGTGATTCACGATATTCGCAGACACCATGGAAACTTAGAGGTAGGTTTTTGGTGCTTGCTTACCCCGCTTTTTATGCCTTTCTCATCCTAAGGGAGAGAGGCATAAAAAGCGGTAAGAAAAGCACCTTTAACCTACCCTTAAGAAACTTCCGAGTCCCGGAAAAACTTCTCCAGAACAAGGTCCTTCACTGCGTTGCGGCTCATGAAGACGATGTCGTCGTCAATCTTCACGAAAATCGTGTGCCGTGAGGAAGATTCCGAAGAGGTTGGAAATTAGAAGAGCAGAGGATGTTGACCACGTATCTTGGCTGTTTTGAGATGATGGTGCAGTGGCTAAAAACATCAAAGAGTATAAGGTACTAACTCTTCAGTGTACTTATTTTTAACTCATGAGGAACGGGGAAGTAAAAATCCAACTCCTCATCTCTTGTCATAATTCGCCACCGAGTAAAACTTCGCCAACTTCTTCCCGTATACCGCAGGCGCTTGATATTGGTCAGGATGTTCACGGACCAGATGTTGGATGAAGTCTATTTCCTCTTTCACTGCGTTGTGGACCACGAAGTTGACACGATCCAAGCAGCCACCGTTTATCCGTAATTGGGTTTGCAGGTAGTAGGATAGGATTTCTAGTCGGTCCATTCGGCCTACGATGACGATGGCTTCCGATCGGACTCTGGGCCAACGTTGGTCAACCAAAGCTAGTAAACGCCAGAAGGGGAAACCGCCAGTCTCACTCGCTACTAGAGTCGGCAACACCGATTGGTGTTCGTAATGCTCGTTGACAAACCGCTTTAGCAACAGAGAAGCGGACTTGACGCGATCGCTTACTGTGGTCAGATCATCGAGATTTTGCAGAGCAAGGACTAGATGCGCGCAAGCACGTGCCATCAAACTTATGCGGGCAGACGTACTGGAAAATGGTTTTCCGCTCCTATCGCGTCGATCTCCCTTTTCGAGCAATAATTGCATCGCTTCCGCACCAACGCCTGACGTCCTCACTCGCTTCACAACACTATTTGAACCACTCACGAGATCTGCAGCAACAGGCAAGTACGCTTCGCCACGTTGTCGTTCAACGATTACTTTACGGATCTTTTGGAGGAAGGATCGCTCTTCTTTCGATGCCTTAGTGATTGGATCTGCAGCTTGTTGATCTCCTTCTTGTTCATGATCTCCTTCTTGGTCAACATAACCTGCTCGTAGTTCCGACTCCGAGCCGCCCTGATGTGTTGCAAGTCGTTCTTGTTCATATTGTTCATGCGGTGAGAGTTTGCGCTCCAGCATCCACTCTCCTCCCAAAGCCAGTCCTTTGATAGCGAACAAGTCCAGTGGCTCGAGTACCTCACTTGCTTCCGCATAAGTTAGACGAGAGTTGTTTGTCATGTGTGCATCTCGGTTATGATCCTTGTTCATGATCACCGTCAATTCCTGTGGAAATCCCTCACGACATTCACATATATCCCAACGACCATACTAGAGACATTCACATATATCCCAAATCGCAACGACCATACTAGAGAATTACAAAGGGATGATCCCCATAGATATGCATTAGAGGTAGGCGTAAAAGAAGGTCCGGAACTGGCCATCCAGTGTTGAGGCCTTGATCCCATGGCAGAGAGGGTAGAGATTCGCCGAAGTAATCCCGAAAAGCGTCAAGAAGATTTGTCACTCTGAAAAACTTTGTTTCGTCTCCCCGACTTTGGACTACCTTCCTTTCACCATTTGCCGCCCCATGCTCGACTCCTGAGGTTGGTGGAGTATAGAGTAACCTAGCTAAAGACAGGCTAAGCACGCCAGGCCAGCACTCACTAGCTCCATCTTCTAGGGACTCGACCTCAGCAACCTCCTCACTTTGGAAGAAGCGGATCCAGGAGTCTCGAGAAGATGAGGACACAGAAGTTGTAGTTGTAGACGCTGCAAGAACACTATTTGTTGTGTAGCGAAAAAAATGCCCATCCGTGTTTTTGTATCCCGTTGTGGAAGGTGGTGTGCTAGGTGGTGATGGTGATGCTGCTGAAGCCTCTCCGTCTTGCTCGACTGTAGTCTGTTCAGCCTCCCTCTGCGCGATCTCTTCGTAGGCTTTCGACAGTCTTTCCTGCTCAAAGATACGTAAAGCTGCTTGCTGTTGGGTGTAGGAGGCTAAGGCAGCACTTCTGCCTCCAGTACTAATGTCTGAAGATGATACCTGTGATGTCGACCACGCAGAAGTACTATCAGGAGTACCAGTTGTCCCATCATCTGTTCGACCACTACGAGCAACAACGACTTTGGTTACTGGCTTGGTGGCATACCACAATTGCACAAATTCCCCATGCACGCGCTCCCATGAGGGACCGGTGCATAGAGCTGCAACTGAAATGATGGAGTGTTGCTGCACCAGCAGTGGTGGGAGAAAGAATAGCCTCCTGGAGAAAAAAGCTGCTGCTCCACCAGGTGAAGGAATGTTTCGTCGACGGGACATCTATGTAATTTCAACGCTTTTGATTTGGACGCGGAAAGAGCATATTTGATGTGGTGGGCTTGTGCTCCGGTGGCCGGGCGGCGCACGTCATGGATCAGGATCTGTATTTCATCGTATTCGACTTTTCACTTTTGACGATCAAGACGCTCCTTAAAACTCTCGCTCCTAAAGAGTAAGAGATTGATTGTGCCAATGTGTATTAGAGGAACTGCAATAGCCTTAGGGTTTCAGCGAACAACATCTCCAACGTTTTACTGGACTCAGGTGTTGAAAACGGAGCAGCTGTCTCCGTCATCTACATTGCGACGTGAACTTTAACAAACATCATCACTATGTTGAGCCAGTTACCTGTTCAATGTAAATTATTCATCATCTTCTGTCGTTTACGCACAAGCACACCATTCTGTTCCCCCAGAAAACATCAAGAACCTATGTAATAGTAATTGAATCATGTTCAACTTCATCAATGTTGATCTAGAATTTCAGACACACCCCCGGTTGTATACGTATCTTTGCAAGTCTCAAAAAACATGAAACAGCGAACGCTTGTCAATCTGAGTTTGAAAAATGAAACGAAGCTCCTAGAAATAGAATAATCATAGCTCACACACTCACTGTTCTTACGTTGTGCACCACATCATTTGAGTTCAATAAACACACAATCACGGCCGACAGACATAAATGAAAATGAAAAACGACGACCTCTTCTTCCTATTAGATAGTTGGTACCCACTCACTCTAACACTAACCCACCATGCTACCAGCGAAGGAGCGACGACGGTAGATGAGGTTCTTGGAGAAGTTCTTGTATAAAAACTATTTACTGTTACTGAATTGTGAAGGTGAACAATGTCAATGTACGAAGCGCTATACTGACAGGCCTCTGGCAACTGTGTGGCCAAAATCAAAAAAAATCACCATTGCGAAAATTACCGACGACCCTCTGTTCAGTTCTATCAATCCATATCTGTGTGTAGCAACTTATCTGATACGTCTTCTATCACCGTCATATCTATGTAAGTAGTCGAAATCTCTTCATTTATAGTCGGGACTCATGATGTTCATGATGCTTTTTTTGAGAACTTTTCAAAAAAAATCAACATCAAACTGCAATTATCCGTGTGTCGTTTTATTACATCATGCTTTCATTCCCCGATACGTACTAGTACACTTTCTTTACTTCCGAAAAAATATCTATGGACAACAGGAATCTCATGACAAACTAAAGAAAATAGACAAGAAGATGTTTGTAATAGACGACGGACGTCATCGAACATATCTAGTGAATGAAGTGCTCCTTCTATATCATTTTGGTGTTTCAGTGCAGCTCTGTGAGACGATGGCAACATGCAAAACTCGTTATAATTAAGTAGTTTAGGAAAAAGGAATATTCGCTTTATTTATTTCTGTTTGATGTTCTTAGTCTGTCTTTGATAAAAAGAGTTCTGCGTCACTGCCTTGTGAAGACTTAATATCTTTGATTGATGCGGATCAATGGTGTCATTTTGCAAAGAACCAAGAACTCGTCCCGGGTCAAAAAGTACAACTTTAAATCACGTCGCTAGTGAGCCATGCAACATGCGTTGGTCCTCTGTCTTTTTTTCGAAAAAAAGTTGCAGTTCTTGTTCGTATGATCCGCTCCTCCCCAACATAGTAAAGGTTGCAGTTCTTGTTCGTATGATCCGCTCCTCCCCAACATAGTAAAGGTTGCAGTTCTTGTTCGTATGATCCGCTGCTCCCCACGATAGTACTAAGGGTTGCAGTTGTTCGTATGCAGAATGGGCCCGGTCGTCCATCCTCACTTCTGCTGCACAATGATCTTCATCCTCTCTTCTTCTACTGCACAAGGGTATTAGAAAAAGAAGCTAAATTCTTGAAAATGAACGCAGCGATTATTAGAATTACAACAAGAACTTATGAATGAGTAATATGAGAGCAACAGCTGCAATGATCAATCTCAACATCAGGAGGAGCCTTAAGGATTGGAACACCACCGCCTTTGCAGTTCGCATTATACCCAGCACGACCAGTTGTAGAAGAATGATAGAGCCGTTCCTCCTCTCGCTTCACTGCCACGTAGTGGTTATGGTGGACTCCTTGAGCTCCACCAGGAGCATCAAGAAGAGGTGGACGTTGCTGATCTACCTGGTGTAGTTGGACTTTTGTAGTGGTCGTGGTCGATGCTCCGTGACGCGACCGTAAACGATGTAATGCGTCGAGGCCCTTCAGTAAGCGCGTCATTGCGTCAACGCTCGCCTTATCTTCGTCTGCTGGTGGAAGGGTCTTTTTCACCAGGTGATCTCCCTCTTTTTGGGGTAGCAACCAGGTACCTTTCATATTATAAGGTGAGAACAAAAGAAAATTACAGGAATGCAGACCTGCTAGTAGTACTACACTTTTCTTATTTGGTTCCTCGTCCTCGTGTAGTCTTATTTGGTTCCTCGTCCTCGTGTAGCCTTTTTACAACCCAATTGGTGGATGGTCCTCGTCATCCTCATCTCCACTATGTGCTGATGAATAAACCTAGAAGAGTACTACCTCCTTCCTTCATTTGATATGCGATCTGCCCACTCGGAAGTTGGTGTAATGCTGAGACGGAGTAAGTTGAATTTGCCCGCGCGCGCCCATACAATGTGATGCAGTCTTTCTCCTTATAAACGGGTACTCCTTGCGGTGATGCTACGACGAACCTATAATTGTTTTATAATGATCGTAATCGTTGTTTTCTGCTAGTATCGGAAACTACGAATAATGAGGTCTACCTAGGTGGACTTTTCAAAGTCAGTATTAATTTCTATGGAGTAAGTTTGTTGAAGTGACATTGAAAAAAAAAGTACTGTTCCTCTCCGCACAGAGCAGTAGCATGAAAGTACACCGGGCAAGAAGGAGATGGCTTGTCCTCCTGTACTTGCAATTCTTGAACATCATTGACTATTTCGGGTCCTGGCGCAGGTGCGGGAGGCGCTGCACAAGAACCTCCTAGTAGATCAGGAGGATTTCGATTTCGATTCGGAGGCCATTCTTGGAGGTGGTCATCAACATAGGGCTGCTGCTGCTGGAGAAGAAGAAGTTGTAGTGCTTCTTTGGTTATGGCAATAGGACCATTGCTAGAAGTTGACGAGGATGTACCCATAATTGCTGTTCCTCCTATCGTGCTGGAAACTGTGGTCCCAGGAGGTGGCGGGTAAGCGCCTAGTTGTACCTCTCTTGGCCCTACTCCTACCTCTACTAGCGGATAAGCGCCTACGGCTCTTGGAGGCCCTACTGCTCCTACCTCTACGACGTCTGGATAATTCGTTCTACCTGTTCTACTTCTATAGTGGTCGTCGTGCTGTAGTTCGTCAGGAGGAGAGTGTTGATAATGATAGGCAGCTGCAAAAGGTTGTAAAAGTAGTTGCGCTATATCTGTATGTCCTCCACTAGACATTGGCATTGGCATTGCTCCTAGACTACTAGATGAACTAGAAGTATGTAGTTGGAGGTCAAGAGAAGGTCGATAAACTTCAAAGGTGATCGGCAAAATTTTCGCAACTTTGACGTGACTCATCTGCCGGTTGAAGGCTTCAAATGTCCCTGTCCGCACACCGTTTACGGAAATGATCGTGTCATCTATTCAGATGCGAAAGGAAAAAGTGAGTCGAGAAGAAATCAGTGATGGTGAGGATGAAATTGATACAGAATACTTAAGTGAATAAGAACATCTTCGTATGCTGATGTTCATGAGAATCACGACAAAACAAATCAAACTGTAGGACCTATCTTCCATCCGAACCGTTCAGCCCCTGGCGCATAGAAGTTTTCAACTGTGAGACTGCGCAAATTCAAGCCTAATTTCGAGTTTTCGAAGAGATATGGCACGGTGACTATTACATTAGGCACAAGAAATGTCTTGGTTGGAACCACATTGAGGGCTCCTGCGACAACTAAATGTGCTGGATGAAGCGCAGCTGGTGCTCTGCTTGATGATGATATCGTTGTCACAATGTTATTCCCAGATGATAGTGAAGGATGAGCATGTTGGTGATGAAAATGTTGAGCTGCTGCAACTTGTTGAGACACTGTAGAACTAGAAGTAGCGTAATGTTGCTGATGGACGAGATTGTGATGTAGAGTTCCTGCTGCGACAACATGTTGATGTCCATGTGCAGCATTGTAAGAACCTCCATGTCGTGGTCCATGTCCAACTGCTTGTGCAGTGTATGCAGAGGAGGACGAGCCTCCTCCACCTCCTCGCGTCCTCAACACCTGACTACCCCCTCCACCCGTAGCAGAAGCAGGAAGATGGTCTACCGCTGCTGCTCCTCCTCCATGGTTGGGGTATGTGTGGGTGTGGTGCGCTCCAACTGATGTTGATGCTCCATTACTGTAATGGTATCCGTCTCCGTGATGTGCAGTTGCGACCGCCATCTTTTGTTCTTCTAGACTTATAAAAACTCGATGGACCGAGGAAGACCAAAGAACTGACAAGAAGTACGTAATATATTTCCTTTAGTACAACGAACAAAAAAACATTCCGAGTTTTGTCCAAGAAGTGCCTGTGCGAACAGACTCCTGGCTGGTCCTTGCGATATTAGTGCTCGTCGTCTAACAGTAGGATGTTGAGAGCATTTAATATTTTGAGAATGTAGTAGGATGAGAGCACTTAATATGATGTTGAGAATGAGAGAACTAGTGACTTCTGTGAGAACAAGTACTATCTAAATCTATACAACATAAATCTATAAATATCTCCTAGTAGGGAGGATAAAGGTGAATCTCTTGTAGGGTGATTCGAATCATGGACTGTTCACTGCTGTAGGGAGGAGGGGGCTCTTGGAGGGTGGGTCGAATCATGGACTGATCACTCCTGTCTTCACTAGACTCCGAACCAAAGCACACTCATCTCATTCACTTCATTCATTCACTTCAGTGAGGACTCTATATCACTCAGTGTCGCTCAGATAAGGTGGATCAAGAAAACTCTTATATATTGGAAGATAGTCGAGTTACTAGCATTCAAAGAACAACACCGACGAGAAATCAAGGTTGATATATTACGAGTCGAAAAAAAATCCTTTTTAACGTTCGCCCTCGAGACTCTAAAGCAAACACCCTCTGCCTCCTGTGCTGCGTTTTAGAGGGGTTTTAGCATGTCTTTCTTCCAAACGAAACAGTTTCAGCTTTTAGTGTTTTTTTTTTATATCGCGGGTGAGTTCCGGGAGGGACCTGCCTACATATTTTCTGCGTAGCTACCGGCGTAGGGGGGAGTTCTAAGATTGGGATTCATATCAGTCATCACGTCAGATTCAACCTATGCCGCCACTGGGTGTTCAACTTCAAGCTCATTGGCGGCGTGCCTGCCGGCGACGGGTGGAGTCCATTAGCCTCCTTCGAGTTCGATTACGATGCACTAATTCCCTACGAACCCGCCGACTGTAATCGGATGACACCTAGGGCCAAAGGAGGGTGGATTAGTTGCGTTATATAAGAAAGCGATCAACAAGTCAGGAACAGGATGCCACGTGCACTGACATCACGAGGTTGATAGGGTAGTCACAGTCCACTTCGAAAAGCGCAGTTAGGTAGCGAGTGCGCTGATTACTCTCTCCCCGAGCCTTTACGCCCGACACTACTCCCACCAGCTGACGAGCCTCGATGCCCCCAACCAGGTTGATAGTGAAAACGATTCAAGTCAGCAAGAAGCATCGACGACGATGCACGCGAATGGAGCGTCGGCGAGAGTAAAACTATGGAGGCCACCAGCTCAGGTCTACCCCAAGATGAGCAAGTCGATGGGGGACCGCGTTCCCAAGGAAAGAATGAAGAAGAAGGCGCGCGGCTGTGGTGGATAGGTCCGCCATGCCTCTTGACAGTTGTAGCTGCTGCCGGCAAGACCCCTGCCGGTCCGGTTCAGAAAAATGAGGAGAAACCTGCGCAACTCTGCGCACCTGACGAGCTGAGCCCTAAGACTGTCCAAGCACCCCGCTCCGCTAGTCCTCCGGTGGCTAGGTTGCCCCTCGAAGCGGTGGATCGATCACTGAGGACATGGCGCGCACTTCCAGGCTGCAACCATCTTTCTCCCCATGTAAGAGCCCGCTCCTGCGTGTGCTCCTACTCAGCGCGCGGCCTCCTGCTCTTCTGGTATCGCGCCTGCTGGTCGGGTCCCTTGTATTCACTCACACATTAGCCGCAGCACCGGCGCGAGGCACTCAAGCGGAATCCGACAGCCCTCCATTAGCCAAGGCCCAACCTGCTGGCTCGACAAAGTCTGGCGGCCTGCCTATAGCCCTCACTGGGTTCGGAGCGGGCGGCACCTCAGTGGAATTGCGAAGCAGATGCGCCCGCTGCGTGCGATGCTGCTGCCTCCTCTCCATTGGGCCCGCCTTCGATGCTCCTCCCTGCTCCGCTGGCCTCAGCTCGCAACGTCCTCGCTGCGTCGTCAACAACAGCCAAGAGCAGAAGCAAGAGGCGAGACACTTCCAAGAAGTAGAGCCTTAGGCAGAGGCATCCCTCCCTTTTCATCTGCTGACCGAAGAACCTGCCCCGGAGTGCCATCACCCGCGTCCCCCTCCTGCTCTCCTCCTCAGCGTGCTAGACCTTCACCGAATCAGTCCATAAAAATACTCCCCGAATGTCTGTAAGATTTCCACCCCCTACGCTGGACTCCAGCTGCGTGCGCGCGGTGTCTTCGTCCGATGCGCGGGCCTGGCCTGCGCCTGCTGCCTATGGGCTCGCACTGTTCTCACTCAGCATCTTAATTGCGGCAATGCGCTCGCCTTTCCTCTTAAGAGAGATCGAGGCCAGCCATACCCAGAATCTTCGACTTGAGAGCAGGGGTAGCCCTCCTTGCCTTGGCTCTCTTCATTGCTATGCCATCCCTCAGGCCGGTGATCATGCTAAGACCCCTCGCCGATGGCTTGGCTATGTCTCCGTATGCCCTCTTACTGACGTTGCTTCTCTGCTGATTGCGATCCGGCTAGCGCTTCCCCATGGCAACGCGTGGCCCCAGTTCCCTCCGGAGGTAGGTTGCTTCCTGCTGGTCAGCCTGTCGTCTTTGTCAGCGGTCTCCCTAGCTTCATCCTCACCCAAGAGCTTGCCCAACTATCTTGGTATCGTCAGCAAGCCACAAGGCTCCAACATCTAGCAGCGGCGCAGCACAAGGAGGGCCCCCCTTTTTTTTGCCTCTTCCTTACAAGCCAGACAGTGCGGAGCCTGTTGAGCTTTTTTGAGAAACGGGGCGGGCGTGTGTTCTGCCCTTCTGCTTTTCTTCGCGGTTCTTCTCGTCATACTTGTATGCTACTGCTCGCACTACTGCACCCGAAGACAGGCCGCCAGGTGAGTCGCTCTACTAGTCTCGCCCCCTTCTTGTTTTTCTTCGACCAGGCTCGACACCCTCCCGGCGAGCACGGTAAGGACCTGCACGCGGGCCAAGAATAAGACGGAGGACTCGCTTCCCCCTGGACTAGGAGTCTGCCTTTGCCTTGGTGGTGCTCTGCGAGGGCAGTCCCCGCGTCCAACTTGGCGGCCATCCACGTCACCCAAGAAGACACCTGCCTATCACAAGGCTTCGCCACTTTCTTCCCAAGCTTTCAAGCTCTTGCTTTCTCTCTTGTACTTAGACCTTCCACAGCAAGACCGGAGCTATTTTCTGGCCGAAAGCGCGCCCTTTGATCCTTTATAAAAAGTCGCGCCCTTGCTCGTGTTACCGATTTTGACTTTCTTTGCCTTCTACCAGGCTTGCTCGCCCTTATTCCTCTTTGTAAGTTCAAACTCAGTTAGTCCACTTCACGCAAGACTAACGGCTTTCTATTTCAGAAGTTGTGCAGTTGTTCGTTTCTCAACTATAGGAAGTTGCCACCTTCTTCCGCCCTTCCCTTTTGTCTAAAAGAGAAACTTCTTCGTTCTTGCACGAGACCCCCAGCCCAATATCCTCCACCAGACGATTAAAATTCTCTTACTTGGACAAATAAGAACAAACTGCTTAAGTTTCATTCTAAAAACGCCGCTAACTACCTTAGAACTTTGAACACCTCACGCTTACCAGCCGGATAGAATGATTATGATATGTAGCCTCTTTATCTGGAGCTGCGCCTAACTCTACGAGAGGACGTCAGACCCCTTGCTGAGTCAACTGCTAGGAGCTCAGAGTGATGCTAAATTCTTGACACACGGCTCGGGGTCATCCGAATCATGTGCGCAGTGCTCTTTGACGAAGGAGGAGATTAATAACGAAGACATGAAGACGACGCATCCACCTAGCTAGTTTCTTAGCACTAATACGCCTTTGACAACCCTGAGAATGCATATTAGTACGTAGAATTTCTAAGCTCTTTCTCGGTCGAGAGTCCTTCCTGCTTCACTAAAGTTCAACTTGCGTCTTAACTACTCAAATGCAAGGCTACTAGTACTATCTATTATTATAAAGCCACCACCTTGCTTACGGTCTCAACAGCCTACAGTTTCGTATTGAACGAGCGCACGCAGATGCGGCACTCGCTGCTCAACAACTCGCGGCCTGCCGGCTGCAAAAACCTGACCTACCACTTCCAGAGGACCCACGCTGATCATCACATAGCCCTTAGAGGGAGGACGAGCCAGACGCGCCAGTGGGGATCCGTGGAACGGAACATACTTCTTTTCTGTTACTTACATCTTATTTATTCGAAAAACTGAAATAACCGAGTAACTGTAATTAAAATAAGCGAGATGCTCACTGAACAAGGAAGAGTAGCCCTGCCAAAGCTACCTCCCTTATTTCAGTCAGTAACTCGCTTATTTTCCGTTTTCGAGTAGTCATCTTTTCGTAATAACGTTTTTCGTAGCGACGATCAACAGCTGCCTCCTCTGGGTGTTGTCAGGAAAACGTTGGATTATATTCATAAGTTGTATAAAGATCTTTCTACTTATTTTTGGGGCGGAAAATGTAGCAGGCATATATTTGTATGATAATGCGAATCTACAACTCGGCAATTATCTGCCTAAGATCCATTAGTATAACTACAGGGCATAGAGCCAGTACATCACTTGGTCTGCATGTAGTGGAACCAACTGCGCACTTGTTCATGGATGATTTGGTTTTGGACGTACTAGGTAGTAGTAGCAGCAGTAGTGTACCCATTCGCGGGGTATAATAGAATGAAGCATTCTCTCATGCGCGCGGATCGGGCCCCGTCCTATGACTGCAATCATAGACCCGTCCACTGGTAGTTGCAAACAGTCTAACAAGAAAAATCTAAGACAACTCAATGTATTATGTCCCGAGGAGACCTAGCGGCCAAGAGATTTGTGGGACGCCGAAGGCGAGGTAACCCTCACACTATCTATCCTATCACTATCTAATGGTCTAGAAGAGGTCTGGAACAAAAAGAGCTGACAGACTCTTACCACCTGATCCGACAAAGCCAAAGGACACCTGATCCGACACGCACGTGGTGATGGTCTCGTCTTCCGATCGAAAACATCATAAGTCGGAAGACGAGACCATCACCACGTGTCGTTGAAAAAGAAGAGCTACGGAACGTCTTCTTGCTTAGGAGTGCCTTCGCTTTAGACTCACGACTTATACTCCTTCACTTCGCTCTTCGTACTCAAGAATATAAGATGTTTCATAAGGTGCCACAACCATGATCTACGGGTGACTCCACCACAAGAAGCTACGACATCTAACTCGTAAGACCCTGCTGCTTATCACGGGAACTTTCTTGCGACGCTTTGGGAGCCAGGACATTAAGACACGAGACTGAATGTGAATGGGGGCCCCATTCTAATTCATATTTATAATATATTACCGACAAGACTGTCTTTGTTGAAACGAATCTTCACGCGATGCTGCTTATACATCGATAGCATACACGACGCCACGAGGTCTCCCAGTTCTGCTAGGTTCAAAAAAGGGCAACGATCTCGCTTTCGGATCCTGGCGCCCTTCCTTGTAAGTATGCAAGGAAGACTGGCTCCAAAAACAAAGCAGCTCGTTCTGAAAGTAGCGATTTCGATATAAGAAGTATATTTTGTTCTTAAAAAACTACAAGAAGGAGAAAGACACACGATATGCAAAATCTACAACTAGCTCGCCCGATCTCTTCTGTGAGTGTTCAGATTTAGATTAAGACACCGAAAAGCGGAAAATATGTGTAACGCTGGACTTTATGGCTTCGAAGTAACAGTAAGAATTGACCAACAAAAACAACGAAGTAACATCGCAACATATAGCGACGCAGTAGGTCTAGGTGCCATGTTGATGTTGTTCTCCCGGGTAAGCTAAAATATCATGTCTTCCGTCTTGGCCTTTTCTCTGATGAGAGGCTTTCCGGGTACGCTACTAGCTAAATGTCCAGGGTATTCTGATTCGTTGCCATGGATGACGGAGTCTGGGGGAGATCCCGCCCGAAACCGATCCTGACCGCGAACTCATTTATGATTGTGAAAAGAAGTCTAATTATATGCCTCGCTTACTATTAACACTTTCAGCACGATGATGAGTCAGCAAAACATGAGCAGCTAGGGCAATGAGCTTAAAAGAAAAACAAAGAAAGACTCCGATACACGCTCCTTGGCAAAGCAATTGTTCTGTAGCAGAGTTATATATAAGAATCTTTTTTTCCGCAATACGTTCAAAATTTGGGTTGATAAGAAAAAGAAAAATCTTCCAAGCCTGCTTATTTCTTTTTCTTAGGGAGAATGAGTTCACAGTGACACTGATTATTGATGGTAGCCCAATATCCATACAAGAAATTATCGTCACAGTCCTCACACGAGATTGCGAAAATAAAGTAAATAAAACAAAATAGTACATGAAAGGATTATTATCAAAGTTATGCTCGCGCGCGACCCTGGTATCGACGCACACACGTCACGCTCGCGGCTGATTTGATCCACCACGTGGAGGAATAGATTTAGACTCATTTAGATTTACCGGGGTTTGAACTAATCAGCAGAATCTTAGACAGAGTTTCTCCTTTTTCTGATTCTAGTTTTGTTTACGACTTTTGCGGTTTACTTCTCTTCGCTCAACTCCTCATTAAAAGATCATAAGAACAGCTTTCCAAAATATGCGCTGAAGTTCCGCTTCATGCTAATGAAAAGAAATACCACGCCAGCCCGAAAATGCATGGACGATATTCTAGATACAACAAGTATCTTGGTGTAGTTATGATTCTTGACATTTCCAGCTCCTCCTGATTGAGAATACTACACAACGACCTCTAACTTGTCTCTCAGAGATGAGAAGTTGTTACTCAAGATATGTAAGGACCGTAGCTGCAGTAATGAAGAGTGGCCCTTCTTCGTCTCCCAGACATCGTCTGCGAAAAAGGATATGTCGAACCCCTGGAAGCAACATGATCGTGGTCCATAGATAGTTATTTTTATTATTTCAATTTAATGTGTAAGAAATACTAGACGGAGCACGAAGAAAGTGTACGACCCAAACCAAGTCTATTTCAATATGAATAAATAGCCATCAACAAGTAGTACGTAGTCAAAAATCTTTCCTCACTGAAAGAACAAAGAACTTAATACTAGATGAACGGCCACAAGAGTGAGGGGACAGGTGGAGCGATGAGATTCAAATATAAGGTTAAGGAGACTCAATAGTAAAGAGCCTCAGTCATGTAGTAGATTCAAGTAAGTATACGCTTTGAAGCAGAAAGTAGAACAATGCGCAGAACATATACAGCCTAGATGATCTACGCCGACTCATCACCAGTATACCTGAACCTGTAGGCATCCACGTCCATCATACTACTGTCAGAGGATCATGAGAGGCGGGGAGGGATCAGAAAAAAGCAGCAGCGGGCATACTACTGTCTGTGCCGACAACAAAATAAATGAAAAAAACAGCTCTGCTAGCAACAGATTCAAACTTAGGCTGTGCAACGAGAAAAATCCTGGTCTAAGGAGCAGATTCAAGAATAGTATGAACTTCAGTGGACGAATAGCCTCAAGAATAAAGAGCGTCAATGTGTTACTAGTACCTACTTACGTAGTGCAGAATTCATTCAGTAGTAGTAGTAGTGTACCCATTCATGGGGTATGAAAGACCGTTTAATTAGATGTGCACTGTTTTGCAGGTACGGCTTCTTTCTCTACTCCTCTTTCCTTTTTCCTTTGCATTTTTGAACGTGCGATCTGTAGAAGTCCACTCGCTTGGACTGCTGTCTCAGGGACAATGTTTTTTGACACAAGTCGATCTGCCATTTTGCGCACTTTTTGCAAGTTATTCTCGTCTTATGCACATCGTTCCACAGCTCATCTGGCACCCGTATCTCACACAGCAGTGCATCTGGTCCGGAGTGATGTCTGCCTGATTTCTCGTTGAATGCATGGTGTTCAGGTCTGTACTCGTTGCGGATTGCACCTAGTAGGCCACTGTCTCGCGCGCGTTTCTTTATCTTGGACACTTTGATTATGTCGCCATTCAGGTGGGCATCCTCGTGAGCCCGCATCGATCCTAACGATGTGACATAGGTTTTGGCACATGGGATGCATCTGTATCTTTCGGGGCGCTTTCTTCCTCCAGCTCGCTTCGGTCCCACTGAACGTAGGAGGCGAAAGAGAGCACCCGGCCTGTCTACTTGTTTTCTGACGCTTTGCACCATCCTTTCGTCCACTCGGGTTTGAGCTTCTTTCTGCATTCTTTCGGCAAGCTTGATGGCAGGCGGCTCTGGTATACGATGTCTCCAAGCTAAGACCCTTTCTTTTTCCTGTCTCGGGCATCCTGTGAGTCCGCACGCAGTTACACGGCGAAGTCCTTCCTGATGTTCTGTTGCTTCAGCTATCTCTTCGCATGCTATGCAGTTTGATGGTCTAAGTGGTGTCCTCCAGGATGCGATTGTGTCTGCGTCCATTGTTCCTGGCTGTATCGGAGTAAGTAAAACGAACATGGATTGTGGGAGCATATGGAGACTCAGGGCTGAGCAGCCACTTAATGCCAAAGCTTTGTAAATCACCGGCGTGGGAGAGCCGTCGGTCACTTCCACACTTAGGGACCTATCTCTCCTCCATCTGAGCCCTGCGGTGGACGCTGGTGATCTTCCTCCTTTACGTTGTGGCACATCCAGGTAAGTCAGGTGTATCCACGCCGCCGAGTCAAATAGAAGCTCAACTCGCTTTCTGGATGCGTGCGGGCTATAAGATCCCACCACACCAATCGCCACCGCATGACTTGATCCTATCTGATAGGGATCCACTGCCGCACCACCCGCTCCTTGGAGCCGGACCATGCCGCCTTCTAAGCTTTGTATCCATAAGCTGGTGCTAATTGGTGCTATGAGTCTCACTGCTGCCGGGTTATCTGATAGCCTCAGGTGTGTCACTTCGTCCGTCAGAAAGTTCACTTCCGTTGAGTGCTGTGTTGTTTTGCCCCATTCTTTCACCTCCAGTTCTGCATATAGTGCCGGGGCGTCCCCACCTCCTCGTTGCCAGCGAGCAATCGTCTGCCTTATCATCGTGTGTTTAATGGCAGCGTGAAAGAAAGTCTTCCGCCTGGCGTAGTCCTCTTGCTCCTTTCTTTGGCACTTCGTCATGTTCCTCCTTTCTCGACCTGACGGCTGCGCTTCCGTCGGAGGTGGCTGTAGCAGTCCTACTAGTAGCTCGTCTTCCATTCCGACGTCCTTCCTCATGTAGCGCAGGAAGTCATCCATGAGGGAGGGAACTTTCCTGTCTTCTGGAGGTAACGCTCTACCACCTGTTGTTGATGCCAAGAACACATCCCTGTCGTCTTCGTCTCGTATTCTTGGAGGCACTACCTGGCCTTGTAGCATCGCTCTGTCCAATGTCAGCTTTTTTGACCGGAGTGTGTGTGCAACATGACGCGCCTGGTGATAGGCAATGAAGGCCCTTAATGGGACCACTCTCATTCGCCGTAGAAGGACTGCATCCGAGACGTCGTTATGGTTCCTCCTCCACAGAGGGATGCCAGCCATCATGGACAGCATCGAGAGCTCGGCATTTTCCATGAGTCTGCAATGCTTTACCGCGACAGATTTCGTCTGAGTGGCATAAACTAATATCGACCTTGACGTCGCAGTTACCAGATTGCCCCTCCTCTTGTTGTCCACTCCCCCCAGTCCACACACTTTTGCCCTCATGGCATGGAAAGATCGCCACGCCTTTAGGATCTTGTTCGCTATGTCACCCTCGGGGTCGGTTTGCACTCCAAGGTTTCTGGTGGCTATGGTGGCTGCGTCGCCTTGAATTCGTTTTTTCTTGTTCTCAGCCATTGCGGCGTCTTCTAATACCCCTTCTAGAATCTTAACCTGTCGGGTGGGCCTCGGCTCTCTTTCCTCTATCGTTGCTTGTTTCATCTCCTCTCCTATCTGTTCCATTTCTTCTTCTGTCACTAGGCCAAACAGGGTGGCGTCATCCGCAAAGAGTATCTGTGATAGCTCTAGCATCAAGGGATCTGAAGGCGCTGTCGCAGCTCGGGAGGAGGCACCTGGGGTGCACATTCCGCGGTCGCCGTTGGATGCAAAAATCCATTGCTTCAGCCTCTGTTCCCTTGTCCAGGTCCACGTGTCTTCAGATGTTAGGACCATTACACCCCCATCTTGTTCACGTCTCCCCAACCTTTTGGCATATACTCGCATTACCATTGAGTATACGAGTACAAAATTCATTCATTTGCGAACCACGTGACAACTTACGTAGTGCAGAAGATGAAAATGATGCAACAGAGAGTGTACATTAGTGGGTACAGGAGTGTCAATCCTGGCTAAACTCAGTTCACCAAAAATATGTTGACTACACGCGCCCAATGAAAACGATCGCCCGGGGCTGCAAGAAATTGCACTAATTCAAGTTCAACCAAAATTTTCGTGTCTCTTGGCATGGCATGCGTCCCAGATATTCCTGCATGTATTCGATACACTGAAATAAGCAAGTAACTGATCAGAATAACCGAGATACTGAGTGAACAAGGAAGAGTAGCCCGTTAAAGCTACCGCCCTCTTTTCAGTCAGTAACTCGCTTATTTTGAGATTGAGTTTTCAAATAGGTGCCTCATCATCGTCGCGTCTCAAATAACCGCACATGGTCATCGGCAAGACGAAACGATTTCTGCGACAGACTGTTGTGAAAAAAAGAGCAATACTCAAGTTCAAGGTCAAGGGGCTTCCTCCGTTTTTCGCCCCCGACCGCGCAACATTCAATTTCAAAGAAAAATGACCACTCACGACATCATGATTACCACAATCAGAAAAAATCGCTAAACATGAACAACGGCTATGGTAATGGCGGGTCTCCCTGTATGTCGCCCCGGGCCTCAGACCGTTTTTTTTTTATACGCTGCCGCCCGTTTAATCAATTCAGGCTGGTGCTCTTCTCGGAGAGGAATTAGTTTGGTGCCTACCGCTGTTGGCCTGCTCTGCGCTTCATTCACACCTTCAAAGACGAGGACTGCATTTCTACAGCCTAAACAAATCTACAGTCCTCCAAAGAGGACTGCATTTCTCCAGTCCTCCAAAGAGGACTGCATTTCTACAGATCCAATCCTCTTTCTACAGGAGCCCTAAGAAAACAAGTGCAAGGTAGTCAAAGGGCATTTTCTAGGCCGTTAAGAAGATCTTCTAGCCCGCTTTTGCACCCAAGCCTCCTCGGTCGCAGCTTCCTTGGGGGAAAATTATTCAAGACGGTCTCAGCCGCGTCAGCAACAAGCTTTTGATTCTTGAGAAATATATATATAATATCAAAGATGTTGCTGGATAGGTCAAATACTTATTAACGTGTCAAGCATAAAGAGAAAACGAGTGCCAGAACGACGTGGGTAGAGACTTAGAGACTTGAGCAAGCATGGGCAGATCAAACAAGTAGGTTGGAAACTCTCAAGCCTCAATGCTCTCTTGAAAAAGAAAATAGCTCATCTCGGATGCAACTGACACCTCCGTGATTACTTCGACAACATTTAAGAAGAAGCACAACAACAGCTCTATCATGCTAAGACAATTTACGAAGTACATCAACTCTATCATGCTAGGACATTGTACACCCGGACCTCCCATGTGCTGGTATATGTGTCGTGGTAGGTCGTCCTCCCTTTTCATCAAATCCATACATACCTCTTCATCTCGTCGTAGTTGTATAACTATAAGCTATTATTTCTAGATTATTTCTTCTCGTGTCTACAAGTGTCATCATCCTCGTGGTGTCTCAAATGGTCACTCTTTACCATCGGCAAGACAAAACACTTCCTGATAGAATCCCAAAGGATTTTAAGAGGAAGCGCGCAGCCTATAATTGAGCAGGAGACAGAAATCAGTTGCAAAACGACGAACTACAAATAAAAGAATAGAGCTTTCTTCTTGTGAACAAAGAACATTTACATAATTATAAGTAAAAACTCCAAATTTTTCCAAAACATGAGTGAAAAAGGATGATGATGATGATGATGATATACCCAGTCTTGTTTACTGACGGGTGTGCAGATTTAATTATATTTGTCCTCCTCGACATCTCTCCTCATGTTTCCTCCATTTTCCCACTACAATTGCTTTTGCTTGCACTTTTGCCGTTTTGTAGTTCCATTTTGCTTTTCTACAGTGCCTGCATTGAATTCCTTTTTCTCCTGTCCTCTCTCCAGTGCATCTTGCTGCTACTGGTATTTCCACTTCATGCATCGCCGCATCTGCTCCTCCATTGAACCCACCCGTAGGGAGTGGATGGTGATGTTCAGGCCGAAGCATCCCGGATTTTCTCACCTTGTATATCTTGACTGCATCCTCCGCTAGATGCTGTTCACAGTGCTTCCGCATGGCCTGGACGTGCGTGTTGAACACTCTGCGACAGTAGTGACACTTCAGTCTGAGAAGAGCCCCAGCAGGTGCTTGCAGTGCTAGTTCCTGTCCAGTTCTGCCTCCTTTCCCTCTTTCTCCAACTGGTACGAAAAGGTTGACACTCTCCTGAAGTATCTCAGCCCTCTTCCGCTTCTCTGAGTGCAAGTCCATGACCTCCGCTACTCTAGTTGCTGCTACCCCCAAGTCTCCCGGTTTAGGTATCGGGCGGCAGACTGTCTCATCCACATGCGCAAGCATCTCAGCACGTGTCATCACTCTATTAGGCCGATAAGTATGACATGATGCACAGAAGTGGCGTGTAGAGCTGTGAAGATGTAAGTCCACCAGTCTAGGCACCACCTCAACTCCGACCTTGTCTGCTGACCTAACGTCCGAGGATCCAGGAACATCCGAGAGATCTAGTACCGGGGCTGGCGATCTCCATCTTACCTCCTCATCAGGCCTGAAGTTTGTGGCGCTCTCCATTGCCGCTTCGTGCTTTCCTTTCATCCTTTCTTCTAGTAGCTGCACCAGCATGGCGCCTTCAGTGACCTTCTCATCCTGCGCCCAGTCCGCTGCGGTTTCCCGTAGTACTTGCTCCTGTACATACTCGGCAAATTGTCGTCTACTCCTCTGGTATCTGGCCTGCTGGTCTCCACCGCTGTACTCGCTGCTAGGCCGCAGTAGTGCCTCAAGATACCTCTCCGGTATTTGGCAGGATTCCGTAAGCCATCTACCTACCTGCTGCACGTAGTCCGGAGGCTTGCCAATGGCCCTAGCGGACAGGGGCGACGACGGTATTGTAGTGGAGTCTCTCATGAGATATGCTCTTCTGGTTACAGCTCCCTTTTCTTCCTCGGTTAGGTCGACACATGCTGCCACCTGTGGCCCGGTTTCTTCCGTGACAACGTCATGCGCCTCCTCGATAACACTCCGATTAGCTGGTGGTAGCACATGTCCCATTAGAAGTGCTTTTGACAATGGCATGCCCTCCCGTCGCATCTGATGTCCAAAGAAGCGGGCCTGTAATGCCCGCACCTGCGTCCTCAACGGTATCATTTTGGCTCTTCTTCGAAGTGTGCTGTATCTTATCCCATATTTCCTTCTAGCCCACCATGGTACACCAAGAATGTCGGCTAGGTATCCTCCTTCTATTGATTCCAATGCCGCCATCTCCTCCTCAGATATAAATCTTGCCTGTAGGCCGTACGTGAGTACGGTTCTGATCATGACTGCTATGAGTTCGCCCTTCCTTCTTGGTGTGAGTCCTGCCATTCCTGATATCTTGGATTTAAGTGAGAAGTACGCTCTTCTTGCCTTAGTTCTCTTGGCCTCAAGGTCCTGCTTGTTATTTGTTACCATGCCCAGATTGCGCGTGGAAAGAGTCACTACGTCTCCATACACCCTCTTGGCGGCATTTTCCGCAGACAGGGACTCAGCCAAGACTTGTTCGTAAGTCCTTGTCACCTCTGTGCCCTCGGGTAGCTGCTTATCCTTGATGAGTTGATCATCCCTCTTCATGGCTTGTTCGACCTCCTCTTTTCCAAGTGCCTCGACTATAGTTGTGTCATCCGCAAATAGGAGATCGCCAATTTGCTGCTTTGTCACAGACGTCACTCCCGACCCTGCGAATTCAGCCTCATCTGCAAAGAGTAACGCGGCTAACCTGGCGGTCCTCCCAATTAGTGGCGAAGAATTTAACGATCTCACTTGCAGACTTGTTCCTGGGCTAGTTTCCATCCTTTTCTTTCTGAAGATCTTCATCGTGACCGTGTACGTGAGCAGGAAGACTAATGGAGAAGATACACATCCCTCTTTTGCTCCATGTTCTAAGGTGAAAAGTTGTTCCCCAACACGATGCTTGGCCGATCTGTGCGAGGCCGCGATGGCTTCCCATGCTGGTCCGCCTGCCACGCCAAGTGCCTCAGCTACTGCAGAGACCATCCGCCAATCTATCGAAGGGAAGGCCTTTTTGAGATCCACTAACGTGACAAAGACCCTCGCAACCTCCTCTTCTCCATAGCGCATCATGTCCTCCTTGATTCGATTGTATACTAGAAGGGATTCTAGTGTTCCAGATCCTTTTCTGAATCCAAATTGGGTTGGACAAAAATGCTCCACTTCCTCTAGTGCTGTGTACAGGCGCTGGGAGTAGATTCTTATGACTACTTTAAGTATCATCGGCGAGACTACAATATAGCGATAATTGCTTGGGTCTGCTGGATCTCCCTTTCCTTTGAAAAGAGGTGTATTCTTGCAATAATGCATTTCTTCCTTTAGTCCACTCAGCCCGCTGCTCTTTGTTACTCGATTTAGTGCTTCTACAATTTGTTGAAGAGCTTCATCGTCCATGAAGGTTAACAGTCTAATTGTGAGTCCGTAGTAATCTGGAGCTCCATCCTTGTTCATGGTTTTGATGGTCTCCTTTAGATCATCCGCAGTGATGGGCGCATTTATCTTCTCCAGCATTTCTGGTGACAGTGCAGATATCTCTTCTTTAATGTCTTGTAGTAATGGCAGCTCATGCCCCCCCGGAAGTAAGGGGCTATTCCCTACCTTGGAGTACTGCTTGGCTGCCTCCTCATCTGTGATGTCCCTGATCCTGGCTCCCGCCTCAGCATCTGCTATCTCCCTGAAGGTTTTCCACATTTCTGATCGATGCCTTCCATCGTTGGCTAGCAGCTCAGGGTTATCCGTTGGTAATCCGATCTTGACCCTTTCCGTGAATCTTGGTAGCATGTCACATAGGAATTCGTGGAGGTCCTCTATCCCAAATTCCGATCCTCTAGCCTTGAGTAATTTTTTGAGTTCCTCATTGTATAGGGCAATCTGGTACTCACTGGGAACTCTCGTTATCTGCATCCTCGTGTTTTGCTTGACTCGTCCTTCCCACCTTAGTCTTACTAAGGTTCTTGCATCGATGTGGAGAACTACGGCTCGATGATCAAATGTCTCAGATAATTCCCATCTCCATAGCGCCTTGACCGAGTAGAGCTGTTTGGCTGGTACTACATAGAAGTCTATTTCTCCTCCATCTCTATGTGTGTGTCTCCCTTGTCCTGGATGAGCTTCAAAGTGCGAGGACACATGTGCGAAATTGGAGTCTTCGAGAAGCTGAAGGAGTGATCTGCCTCTCGTGTTGGTCTCGGGTAATCCGTGTTTTCCACAGGCATTGCTTTCTCCCCTGGTACTTTCGTCGCCTATCCTGGCATTAAAATCGCCTCCCATCACAAAAGCTTTCCATTTGGATGATTTGCATTTCCTCCATTCTGCCCATGTCTCCCGCAAGGCTGTCTCAAAGGTGAGCTCTTCCAGTTTTGCTGCGGGACCATTGGCCGGGGCGTACGCAGTAGCAAATACCACATTCGCCAGCTCGAGTGACAATACTCTCCTTCTGGATCGCACTACTGTTATGCCTCGCGCCACTGCTTGTTCAAATTGGAACCGTAAGTTGGTGTCTAGTAGAATTATGCCTACTCCATCCCCAGCTATGAGGATGTGCCCAGGATTTCTAAAGACACTATACTCACCTCTTCCTACTCTCCCACAGCCGGGCGGCAGGCTGTTGTTTTGGCTCCTCATTGCCGTCGCGCTGTTGATGTTGTCTCTGTCTGCTCTGATCTCGTCCTCATCATCATCGTTGATTAGAAGAGAGTCGACATCTGCCTTCTGCTCATCCGTGGCGCTCATTAGAATACCCCTGAGATCCTGGGACTCGGTGGCTTCGGCGCCCTCTAATTCGTCTTGAGTTTCGATCTTCCTGGGTCCATGGTAGTCAAATTCGTTGAGGAGCACGACGTCGGCTCCTATTTTCCTGGCTTTTTGCATGACTAGAAGGAATTTGTTGTGATGTCTCCCTGCTGATCCAAGGTTCTGCGATAGCGTGAGATACCTGATGTGGCCAGGAAGTGGCGGCTTGATCTTTTTGATGATCCCGTCCAGCTGCTGAATTTCCTCATCTCTGTTGTCTTCTGGTTCTTCACGCCTACCTCTTCTGCGCTTCTCGATCCATTCCCTTCCTTGAAAGGGATCTTCAACTCTTGCTCTTTTGTCCTCCTCTTGATTTGCTTTGTGCTCTTCGGCTCTGATCTGCTTGGTCTCTTTGCTTTGTCCCATTCCTGCTTTTTTGATCTTGGGTGGTTGTGCATGAGGGCTAGTGATTTCGTCCACCGTATCAGGAGACGTGACTTGTGATTTGCTTGATACCGACCGCTTTCTTTTCCTTATTTGGCCTATATTTATGTCATTTCCTCTTCTTGGTAAAGAGGATCTTCTAAGAATTGCTTTTCGGATCTTTCTGTCGTTGTATTCGTATGCTTTCGGATCAAGGCAGATGGTTGAGTCGGATCCAGGGTCTGACCTGTTAGCTTCGTCCTTGGGTTGCGAAGGTCTCGATATGTGTTCTACTAGTTTATCAAGATTAGTTGTTTGATCTTCTTGATATCTTCTATTTTGCCAGAAATCCCATTGATTGTATTCTTCAAGGATCTTTAGAGTTCGAAGCTGGTCTTGTTGTTGCCTCATGGTTGCTGATTCTGCTCCCCGTTTGACGAATTTTGGAGGAGTTGATTTCATTGGGCTGTTGCTGCTGTCCTCTTTTGATGTTCTGCTGAGATGATTATAATTCCATTTGGAGCAAGAAGTATTTTCATTTAGTTTGTTGATCTCGTTCAAGAGTGAGGACCTTGAGATGTTGGAAGTGGAGAGGTCTAGTGCTTTTCCTTGTTTAGTTGTGGATAGCTCTTGATGATGGAACACATGCTTGATTTTATCCGAGAGATGGTCTTGCATGTGCATGCTTTTTGCGTTACTCGTGACGATTGTTTTTGTTCTTGTGCCTTTACTAGTTTTTTGTCGTTTCATTTTTTTGCATGATTGTTCATTTGTGGTGGAGAGTTCAGACAACTTTCTTCTCTTTTTGTGACTGCTTGTTGCACCGAGGAGGATGCTATTTTTGTCCAGCTTTGCCTCCTGAGGCAAGCAGTAGATCGGATCTTCATATCTTTGCTCTGCAGCTGCCTTGCTCCTGCTTTCTTCTTTCTCCTCTTCATGTGCTTTGATTTTCTTCTTCATCCACAGCTGTTGCGTGCCCATTCCCTCCATTGAAGTAATTTCTGGTTGAGTGATTACTTCCGTTGATTCGCTATCCTCGCTAGTACTCATTTCGGCAAGACGAACAAAGGCCGACGAGGATGTGTGTTTCATGTGAGATCTAGCAGTGGATCTACTTTTTTGTTCTTGTGATTCTTTCTTGTTCATCATCAGCAGCTCATTCCTAGATCTGGCTGCCTTTCGTGCCCAGTTCCTCGAACAATGTTGTTTTTCAGCAGTCGGAAACTGCCCTTTGATCGATTTCCTGGATTTTACAAGGGTCCATACTTCGTCTCGTTCTGCTATCTGCTCCTTGATTCGAGATGATTCACCTTCAGCTTCTTTCGAGATTGTTCTAGAGTGCAATCCTTGAATTATCTTCTTCTCTTCACTTGTCGTTTCGTTCGTCGATTCTGCTGTCGTTGATTTCCCACTTCTTTCTTCTCTTCTAGGTATAATTCCTCCTTGATTAATGCCGTTACTGCTTCCCATAGCCAAAGTAACCTGAAGAGATTTGGTGATAGGAGATGATTCCTTATCGATGTCAATTGTTGTTCTTTTGGGCTGTTCTAACATGTTCCTTCTATATGTGCTGTTGTGATGTTGATGCTGACACTTTATTTCCTTCTCTAATTTGCATTCTTTGGATCCCGGAAGATTGAATTTGTATTCTTGTGCTGATTGTGTTGTTGTGGATGTCACCTCTGATTGTTCGCTTCTGGTAGGTCCTATTCGAGTTGTGACGTTGAGGATCCTGTGTAGTTCAAGGCCTGGAGGTGACCTGATGAAGGACGCAGTTGTTGGCATTGTTAATGTATTGTGCCTCCAGTTCTTATCCGATTCTACTACTTTGTTCGTTGTGTAAGCATAGCCGTGCTTATGTTTCGTATTACCATGATTGCTATGGTTGCCATAGCTGTAACCTTGTGGCGCTGGTTGTAGTTGTTGATGCGAGGCTGGATACTGATTGGGTAGGTTGTGCCCATGCATGTCTCCATAGTAGTAGTGGTTGTCATTCGATGCTTGTTGACTGTCCGTTTGACCTTTTCCTACTGTGCTCTGCTTGTGGTTGACTTGTTGATTCTTGTTGATCCTCTTGTTCCTGCTGTTGACGGTGTTGAGATTTGCGTCGTTTCTTGTTGTCTTTTTCATCGAGGAGTGCGCGGAAGATACAATGGTATTGTAAACTCTGTTACTCTTATTTGATGTAGTGCTTTTCGTCGTTGTAGTACCATATTGCTTCTTCTGAGATGCGTTATTGGGCATTGAAGCACTTTGCGCCCCTTTACCTGGAGGTTTCGATTTGCCTGGGATGCCCTCCTCTAGCTCTGGGTCAAATCCATCTGGGATAATCGGAAGCTGGCCATCAGAAGTGCCTTGTTCGGCATAGTACTTAGGTTCCGCTTGTGCTTCTTCTTGTTGCTCCACCTCCATAGATGTGTTCATTGCTTCATGCTCTTCATGCTCAGCATCTTGTGCTTTGCTGGTGTTGTGCAAGGAGATTCGCCTCTGGTTCGTTGTCTGCTCTTTATTTTGCGGATCCTCTTGACATTCTGTTGGCACATGTACTTCGTCTGAAGTTGAAAGGGTAGATGTTGAGATGGCACCTTGATCAATCACCATTTGCTCACTCGTTTTGCTATCGTCCGCTGTCCTCCGAGTAGGTTCATCACTCTCTTTGTCAACCTTTTCCTTGGAGGTGGCGTTGATCTGGGCTAATGTTGGATACGTAGTTTCCTTCGTTCCATCATTCAATCCTTTTGCCGTAGTGCTCTCTTGAGCAGGGTCGCCTAAGGATAGTTTTTCCAATAGCTTCCTTAGCATGGTGGTGTTCTCATCTGCTCTTGTTCTGTTGACTTTTGCTTCTTCTATCATGAATTTGTTTTGTTCCGTGAGTTGCATCATGTTATTGTTAGCTGTTGCGGCAGATTGTAGGTGTTCCTCATGCATGCGGGCCATTGCTTGTTTTGCTTCCTCTCGGTTCGTGGCGATTTCGTGTTGCAACCCCTCCACTTGTTTTGTGATTTGATCCGTCAGCTCAGCATTTTGCTTGGCGATACTCTTGGTAAGATCTCCAATCTGGCCGTCTATCTCCTGTTTGAGAGTGATGATCTGTTTTCTGGCAGCTTCCTCTGCTAGTTCCGTCATCATCCGCTGGAGCTCCTCAAACCCGATCGGCTTGCCATCCCTTACGAGTGACGAGCCCTTGTTGGCGGGCTCAATCTTCTCGACGGGCCTATCTGGAGGCGCCAAGCTAGGAAGTTGCCTCGCATCTGCCACCCATTCAGACGGGTATGCCAACCTCCTGATTCGCGACGCCCTGCGGCTCCACCGCCCTTTCTTTTTGTCCTCGGTATACGAAATACCACAGAGGACAGTGTGCTTCTCATGGATGCCATTGGGAAAGGGCGGGAAGGCTATCGCTGTCAACTCAGAGCACTCCTCCGCCGTCGGCGCCACATCAAACCCGCTGGCTTCTCTAAGATCTAGGATCATGATCTTGGTGGTCACGTCCCTTACTGAGCCTGTAACAAACCTAGGCGGTAGCAGCTTTCGACCACATTCGGACCTGCCATACTTGGCTTCCCAATCTGATGAGAATATGACGAAGTTGGTACCGAAGGAGAGCGCTGCCAGGGCTGCTCTTGCGAACTCTACTCTTGCCTGCTCCATTGTGCTCGGTGTCACTAGCTGGCCAGGCTTGGTCGGATGTTTCGACTTACTACCCGCTTTCACAACAAGTGCCTTGTTTGTCTGGTAGGATGCTTCTTCTTCCATGAGGTCATCATACTCATCTTCTGACCAACTTTCCGGGTATACAAGCCCCATCAGGGGGATTTCCTCAAAAGGCTGCTGCATGCCATTTCTGTCTGCAGGCTGACTGGGAGATGCTGCTTGCTCCTGCTGTCCATCATTAATCCCATCTTCAATCTGCATTCCTTCTTTTTCCTCTTTGCTGCTTGTTGTTTTTGTGGTCGTGGGAGATGTTGTTGTTGTTGTGGTGCTTTTTTGTGCTGTTGGTGTTGAGTCTTTACCTGATCGCTCTTCCACTTTCTGCTTATGAGCCGTTGTTTTTTGTTCTTGTCCTTCGTCCTCGTTGTCCTGCGTGCTCTGCTGGGTCATTACTACGTCATTTGCAGAAGTTGCAACTAGTTGAAGATTATCTTTTGATGTTTTTGTTCTCCTATCTATTGCGCCTCCACAGTTGATTACTTCTTCAAGAACTCCCGGATCAGTAATGCTTCTGCCAAGTTCTATCTTTATTTCTTCTATTTGTTCAACTGATGCCCTGCAATAAATGATTGACGTACCTGTTTGTTGAGCAGCTTTGATTCTCGCTTTGTGCTCCACTTCAACAACTTCTTCAAGAGGCATATCGTCCGATAATCTTAAGAGAATGGGCTGCTCTCTTGCTCCTGGAGGCTTGTGGGAGAAGGCCGCGTATTGTGCTACCGTATCTTGTGAAGCATTGAGTTGTTGAGGATTCCTAATTTCCCTTTTGTAGGTGGTGCGATATTCGTCCTTGCCAAATTCATTATCGTCCAACGAGAGCATTGATTTGATGATGGGATTATGAGAAGTGGTGCTCGTAGTTCTAGTCTTTTCGCTTCCGCCTAACAGCCCTTCTACTCCACGATCAAGGAATTGCTTCTCGTCATCCTCTAGGCCTACCTTCCTTTTCTTGGAGCCAAGCTGAATTGCTTGGCTGGCCTTGGTGCCGGATCCATTATCTGCCTCTGCAGCTTTTGTTGATGAAGTGGCTTTGCTTTTGCCCTGTGATGGAGGGTCTTTGTTCTGGTTTGTTGCCTTCTTCTCCTGCTTGTTGGATTTTGTCGCTACTTGACTGCTTGGTGGAGCTTGATGTGATCCTTCAAGGTATTTCAGTCGTTTCGCTTCCATTGACTGACTGTGGAAGTCCTCTTCATCCACCCGGGCAGAAGTTGACTTCTCCTGGGCCAGTCTCATTCTTGATCCAACAGCTTCACTCTTGTTATCCGGGGGTGGTCGCTTGAGATTACGGGGAAGTTCTTGAGATTCAGCAATCCTTTGGGATAGAGCACATGGCTGAGGTTGCTGAATTGGTTTTGGAGAACCATCATGTCTGGGTCCCTCTGGATTGAGCATGTGCGATAGCGCGTCATCGTCTATTCTCTTATTGCGAGCTGACTTGAACTTTCCTTCGAATTCGTTGCTTCCACCTGGTCCTCCATCTGCACATGTAGAGACACGAGTTAATTGGTTTTTTCCCTTATTTTCGCCTTCTTCATCCGAGCTGGGATCGAGAAATGGCTTATCGTCTCGTGCTTTTATTTGAGTGTGTGCCCTGATCAACGACTGTGCTACTGTTTTGCAGTCCTCTGTCATGTCGATTCCGCGGGGTTCCAGTGGTGATGATGCCAGATGAGCTTCGACCGCCATTTTGGGAAACTTGTTGATTGAGGTTGAAGAGAGATTAGGTTTTTTAAGACTTCTTTCACTACTCGCTTGCGATTCTTCTCCTTCCTGCCGGACTTGAGCCTCCATCGCTTCTGGTGCATTCTTCCTTGATTCCCCTGCTCTTCTGCATATTTGAGACCACGTTATTGCTACTTCTTTTCCTCCAATCGGCGTGCTCGTTTTCCCTTTTTTTGCATCGTGCATGTGTAGCCCGTTGTGCATCCTATTGATCAGATTGTCTACTTCGGAGTCGCTGTTGTCGTTGTTGAGGATGTCTTCTTGCTTGTATTTTATGTCCTTCATTTCGGATTCACTTGGAGTTGCTGGGATACTGTCGCCTTTTCCACTACTCATGTTGGGCATGTCCTGAGCCAGATCCTGGAATGTTACCAAGCGACTTGATTTTTGCTTCATCCCGATCTGGTGGAGCTCGCCCAGGGAGTTCGATTTGTCGTATTGCTTCCAGATGTGTTTCGATGGTAATCGAATGGGAAATATGGCAATTTTCCTCTTGGCTTTCCTTTTGTTGTGTAAGCCACTTCGGCTGTCAACAAGATCATCGGACTTTGCGCGAATCCCATTGACAAGCTCCACAATTCTGGCCATCTCTTCAGGCGAGATTATACTAGTCTGCACTTCCACTGCATTTTGCTTTCTTTTTCTTTCATTAAGATGGTAGATGGACCGTGGATCATTGGGAGCTATGACGAACTTCTGTGCCATTTTCGCTGAGTGCTCTTCGATCTCACGCTTTTCTTCTTGCCACCGGGTAATGAAGTCTTCGTCGTACATGCCGAGACTGTCTTCTTGGATTGAGACCATGGTACCCGAGTTCTCCAAGCATTGCTTGACCAGTTGAGTTGCTTCGTTTTCGTATTGCCACATGCCTTGCTGATGCAGAAAGAATTCGTCTTTGACATGCCTCTTGCCGTCCTTGTTGATCCCTATGACATGTTCATATACCCCCTCGGTGAGTTTCATTGCTTGAAAGTCTGTCGGATATCTTTGTTGCAGGAATTCCGTTGCTATTCCTGCTATGTAGTCCGCTGCCCATATAGCATGCTCTATCTCCTGTTGGTCTTCGATCCCTGTCAGGAGATTGATGAGAATGTTGACTTGAAGTTTTGTCGCTTCGTCGCTGGTCGCAAAGTTGAGGTAGTCATCAGGATTTTGTAGTTGTAGCTTAATTTCGTGACTGGTCCCTGCTAGTTCTTCCGCATCCTTTTCCTGTGCTCGGCTTTCGTTGCATTGTATTGCAGGGAATTGATGTTGTTTTTGGTCCGCTTTGTAGCCCAGAGATGTTGCATGAGCTTGCGCTTCACTGTTTGTGAATCTTGAGGAGCTGGCCAGTCTGGAGGGGGTAAGTCGTCTTGTTTTGCCTTCATATTGAGGTTGCTTCTGGTGCATATTCCCCTTAGTCGATGTTATGATTTTGCAGCTACTATTCCCTTGCTCGTTTTCTTCTTGTTGACTGGGTTCGTAGGATGAGTAGTCAAATGTCAGTCCAACCGAGGAGCGAACAGCTATTCCCCTTCCTTGAGAGACTTTTTCGTCATCGTTCTCTCTTTCACTTCGATTATCTACTTGTTCTTCTTCTGAGTGGTGGCTTTCTTCAATCAGCATTTCGTATTCCCCATTTGTCGCCATCAGCATGAGTTGAAAGTGATCGCTGCATCGTTGCCAGGCGATACTCCTGGTGGTGCTCGTTGCTGTATGACCGTCGGTATAGCCACACTCGCACCTCCTTGTGTTTTGTTGACTGTCATTACAACTATGGCTGCATATAGTAGGTCGTTCGTCCACATCGGATTCTGCCAGTATGTTGCATAACTGGGATGCTCGTTGCCAAATAGAAGCTGTTGCATAAGCATCTGCATCAGTGCCGTTCCCTGTTCGTCGGTCATTGAAGTGCTACCATATTGTTGCTCTAGTATGATGGCAGTTTTTGCTATTACCGCTTCGATGTCCTGTTCTTCTACCCCTATTGGCTTAATGCTCGCTATTATTCCTCTGGTAGACTCCGCCCAATCCGTTGTCCATTTGCTCCCGCCGCCTCCGATGGTTTTGTAGGGGCAAACTTGTCCTTTTAGAAGAGTCATTGCTTGTTCTGGGTGCTGTCCATCATCCCACTGCAGATCTTCGCTGTTGGATTGGTCATCTTGTTCATCCTCTTGAGACATGTTGTGTTCTCCTTCTCTGAATTGTGCTGACATGCCCACTCCTTCGTCAATAGTATCGATAGCTCGCTTGTTGTATGCCCAGTTTGTGTTGTGATTTTCTCGTTCATGATCTGGACGCACCAAGTTCCTTTCCTGTGGATGGAGTGCGATCGTATTACGTGTTGCTACAAGATCTCGCTTCGCTTCGATTGCGAGACTTCTTTCTAATCCTCTTGGCGGTGTTCCTGGTTCACTGGTATTATCTTCATCCGAGGTAAATGCCTCCTTGTAGTGAGAGTTGTTGGCTTTTTGGTCGTACTGGAATTTGAGCCTGAATGTGTCTCCAATTTGTTCGTCTGGCCTGGCTTTCCGTCTTAACGGTGGGATGTAACCTTCGTTGTCTGCTTTTTTGGCTACCGCTACTAGGCATGCGTGCAGAATGGCAACATTCTTCCACGCAGTGCTGGCTCGAGTAGTTACAATTGATTCATTCCTTTTTTGGCTGATGAATTCGTCCTTTAGGAAGATGGCCATGGCTTGAAGCTGCTTGTTCGAAGGCTTTTTTTCCCCCCATACGGCCTCGATTAATCTGGCTGCTTTGTGCGCGACCGCATCTGCTGTTGATATTTGTTCGTTGGAGAGAGGTTTGGCGCTTGCTTGGAGTAAAGTCAGACTAAACCTTGAGGACGCCTCAGCTAACCAGGAGATGAGAAATTTGTTTGTGGATGCACCTTCTTGAGTCTGGATGATTTTGATTTTCTCTTGTAAGTTTGGGCCAACCACTCCATGAAGGACCATGTTGATTTTAAGTCCTGTTTCCGCTTCTTCAGCTATCTTCGGTCGTTCCTCGCTGGAGCTTGTATCAGGTATTTTCGCTACATTTGTACGGATTGCTTCCTGATTGTTGCTGACTCTTATCCCCGTATTGCGTAGCAGACATGTGGTAGTTCTTTCCATCTTGTCTACATGCGTGGCTTCTCCTTGTACTACATCCACCAAGTTGGAGATCTCTGCTTGAGTGCTGCTTACGAAGCCTTGATCCATCCTGGCTACTATACGGAATATTGTACTGGATGAGCAGTTGCCTAGAGGATGTTTATCCACTACCACTATCGGCACTTTGCTTTGCCTTGGGCTACCACCGAATCTTTCTAGTAGTTCGACTACTGCCGCCATGACTGTTAGATCATGTTTTAGCAGCTTGTCTTGGAGATTCTTGGCGGAATGTTGTTCGTTCCCTTTGCCTCCTTTTCGTACCATGTGCGCAAGGTATTTTGCTAGTTGTTCTACTTGTCTCTTGGTTACAAATGCATCGCCATATTGTTCCTGGACTAGCTTCATGGTGTTGACCGCTAGACTGTGCTTCCATGTTTCGACTCCCGTGATTGCTAGTTCAGCTCCTAGTCTGCTTGATAGGTCAGCAGTTGCTTCCGCTGCGCCAGTGTCATCCGGATCAATTCTTGCTCTGTAGAGACCAACTACTAAGCCTTCCATTATTTGAATACCATTTGCTGTTCCTTTACGTATTTCGTCCCAGCAGGCAACAGGGACTTCATTTGGTGATTCGTTGTTAGATGTTGACATGCATTCGTTGTGGCTGGATTGCGTCAGAAAGGGATTATGTTGGTACTGGTCCCTACTTGCGTTCGGTAGTGAGCTGCTGCTGCTGGGGCAGTCGTTGTGTTTATTGCTCACGTTTGTGCTGAGGAAGTCGCTGTGAGTCCTTCGCTCCATCTCCGGTTTCTTGATGTAGGGAAGATGATGACACTCGGATGCTTGGTAGGTGCTGACTTCGCAGTGATTTCTTCTATCCGCCTTGTTCATGTGATTGGGGTTGCTGCTTTTTGATGAGGTGCTTGGTATATCTTCGTTGACCTTCTTGTTGAGTTCCGTTGCCACTGCTGGTTGCATTTTCTTTGCGCTGATGTGCTTCTTACACCTGTTGATGATATCTTCCTCACTAGAGAGCGAGGTGCTGCTTCTTCGCCTCCTGCGAATCCTTTGATGCCGGTTATCAATTAGGGGAGAAGATTTATCAGCTTCAGATGGATGGGTGTCGGCTGTTCTTCCGGCCCCACATGACATTCTCTTTTTGCTTGATAATTCGGTGAGTTCGATTATTGGCATGCTACTTCCCGTGAATTGTAGCTTCAGCTGCAGATGTTTTCCTGCGAGCTTGCTGTAGTTTGCCGGTTCTAGCAGTCGAACATATTTGATGTTGTTATTTTCCTTGCTGCACTTTTTCAAGATGTCTGACGTCATGACCGAAAGCATGATATCCCTGTCCAGTTTGTGCTTGTTTTGAGTCCTGATGTGGAACGTATCGTAGCTGTTGCTTACTTCTAACGCTTCCTCTCGCACGAATTCTTCTAGTATGAATTCAGCTAGTGCTTTTTCTTGATGCTCGTCCAACTTCATGGCTTGATTCTGGACCATCGCCATTTCCAAGACTCTTTTTACCAGATGTTTCAGCTCCTCTTGTTGTAGTCCTACTTTGCTATTGTCCGATATCATCTTACTGACTCTCCCCTTAGCTGCTGCCAACCAATACGAGTTGCGATTTTTGAAATAGTCGCTTCGACTGATGTATATTGCGTTGTACCCGAGTGTGTAGCTTCGTTTTGATGTATCTTCACTGCTCTGGTCATGCATCTGATTCTGGATCTGCTTTGGAGACTTGGTATTGTGCTTGCAGCTACTTGCTTCATTGGCTGGTGAGTAGAGTTCTTTTGTGGCCCTTGGTTGATGAGGTCTTGGAGGTAGGCATAGCGGATCCTCACTTATGGGCTTGATGCTGCTGATTCTCGATACATAGCCATCCGTTTTTTGAAGCTGGATAAGAGGGCAATTGGTTCCATCTGCAGCTTTCTTTTTGCTACCCGCAGACTCCATTTCTTCCTCCTGTATGATTATGGGCTTGCTTGTTGGACCAGAGATGTCCGCTTGATGTAAGATGTCCACTGTGGCAACTGCTAGTAGTAGATCGTCACTCCACATTTCGTCCTTTTTGAAGTTGTGATGGCCCTTCTTGCCTCTTCGACTGAGGAAGCGATACCGCAAAAATTCTACTAGTGCTTGTGTTTGCATGTTGTCGATCGCTTGATCTCCTCTTTGTTGCTCTAGGATGGTAATGATTTTGAAGGCAATTTCTGCTACATCACTGTCAGTGTAGAAGGGCTGCAGCTCTGTTCCTAGGGAGTCGCAGATATCGGCTGCTGCTAGTTCTAACCAGTTGTTGAAGGCTTTTCCTCTCGCCTTCTTGTACTTCGAGTATTTGATTTGTAGGATGTCCTCCCTATTTTCCCATTCCAATTTTTCTGCTATGATCTGCTTTTCCTCTTCGGTTAGTTCAGGAACAGTTGTCTCATCCCTATCTACTGGATGGATTTCTTCATTTTCGATTCCGGGATACAGAATTCTGTTTTCGCCTCTTTGCTGTCGTTGTGCTGCTGTCATCTCAGCTCCGGGCTCCCATTCGCCGTTAGCGATGGCTTCGCGACGCGTGAACGACATGTTTTTGTGAAGGTAGAGGGGGCTCTACCAGGTGTATTCAATATGATGTGTGTGTATGTTGTGCTGGATGATGAAAACTTTTAGGGCGACTAGATGTTGTCTATTCTATGCTCCGAAGGCGTGTTGTTGCGAAAAATGAATTGTTATGCTGAAGTAATCCCCCGTAAGTATATGTTTGTTTGTTAACTTTTCACAAGATGCGATAACCGATGTTCGTCACTGTTTGTTTTTCGCGGTGGTACGCTTTCATTACATAAGAGACTGGTCGCGCCACACAATTTACTTTTCCAGTAATAAATGCATTTTTCATTTTGTATTCCGTAGAGATCCACGTTTGTTTGAATTCGTGACTAGTTTTCTAACGACCAGTCTCAGAACCTGCGGAACATGGATCATGGGCAACAAGCAGAGCTTGAGCCAAAATGGCTACGGGATACTAGGATACAAGGAGAACTGTATTTGAAGCCTCCGGGGGTGCGGGATGTTGCCTTAGGCATCCTCCTCCTTGCCTAGGTCTCTGGAACTATTGAATAAATAGTATCAGGTGCTGAAGGGAGTTCTTCTTCTTCATTCTTACTATTTATGTGTAGAGACTCAGAGCTTAGGCTTCTTCATTCTTAGTACTAAACTTATTGCTCTACTTAGTACTCTGAACTCTAATCTAGTACTCAATATTACACAGGTACTCTCCTTGCCTAGGTCTCTAGAACTAGTGAATATAGGGAGAAGGGAGTTCCAGAGACCTAGGCAACCAGAACGATTGTGCTGAAGGGAGTTCTTCTTCTTCATTCTTCTTACTATACATAGTAGTATGGCGCAAGCATCAAGATGAAGACTTTTTTAGAGAGAGAGAGAGCAGTTTCTTCTTCTTGTAACAATGAATGTACCCACACCCACTCCAGGGGTACTTACTATAAAAGAGGAGCACTACTACATTAGAGGCACCGACGTGCATCCCTGAGAGCCTCCCTCGGCCCTTCTTCCCCTTGAAAAAAGGGCTAAGGATGGTGATGAGGATGCTCCAGCGGTAGCCTTAACTACACTGCCTCCCCTTCCGTGATGTTCTTGTTGAGTTAATTTAAATCTTCGGACAAACCAAGACGAGGTACACACAAAGACGAGAAAGGTCCCGGTAGGAGTGTCCGTCCACCAGTTAAATGATCACTTCATTCTTATTGGTGTCGTTGATTCTTTTACTAACTTCATCTAGTCCTTTGATTCCTTTACTTCTAGGCCTCGTCCTAACAGTCCTAACAGTCCTAACAGTGTCTTCACACCTCCCTAGAGTATCTTCACAGTGTCTTCACACCTCCCTAGACGAGACCTTATCCTTCATTAGTACTCGCATCCGTTTCGATCTCTTCCAGCAACGTCACTGAGGACGAAGGATTAGGCGATTCGTTCTTCCATTCTGGTTCTCCTATTAGCGCTTTTAGGAAGGTATGCAGCACCTACCGGCGGGATGAATCGATGTGACAAGATTCCACAGACAAGTAGAACTTGTAAACCAACGAGGAGGAACAAGATGATGTTGCACTCATCTTGATGAAGAACAAGAATGTTTCAACACTTATTTTAAGAACTGATGATCTTGATCTATCCTCCTGGAACAAGAGTATAAATATTAGCACGTGAATACATGCCGCGTCCGTCCTATTTGAAGTAGAGAAGTTTAGAATCAGAGAGCCTTAATGGGAGCACTAGAGGAAGGTCCAACAGCCTGGTTTGCGAAAATCTTAGTACGGTAGTTCTGCGACCACCACTCCTTCGAAGTTGCGGGATTTCTTCACGACCACCATCTTCGCTCGAAAATTCTACTAGTTCTACTGGAGGTAGTTCTCCTTGATCATGTGAGAGTGAGTCTGGGTCTGATGAATGTGCCCACTGTACTTCAGGAGTAGTGTGGGAATCTACTCTGGCCGTCTGCTGGAGTAGACTTCTATGTAAATGTACATGTGGAGCAGTCGTAGAAGTCCTGGAATTACGAGGTGAAGCGCGAGGATCCCGACAGTTGTAGTTGTTATATTGTTGCGCACAATAAGGCGTTCCGCGACTCGAACGTCGAGAGGAGCTGGGTGGATAGTTCTTGTAAAGATGTTGTTGATGTTCTTGAACATCACGGTGGCCACTCGTACTAGAGTTTCTAGGTGGTGACGCTTCATATCTTCCATGTGAAACTCGTCCATCTCCATGTTGTCCCAGTACTAGATGCCCATGAGTGCCACTTCTGCCACTCTTCGCAGAAAATAGCGAGTAATTTGTCGTAGAAGTACGCTTATGCGGCTCCTCCTGCAGAGGCAGAGCAGCTTGACGTGGTACTTCTACAAGAAGTGGTCGTTGTGGTGCTCCTCGTGCAGGAACAACATCTTCAAGTCGCGGATGCCTTGGAGCATGCGTTTCCTCCTTCTTACGCATCCAATTAATTGGCGCAGCACTCGTGTTTTCGTCAACACGATATCTTCTTTGATGCCTTTTTTTAGATGATGTAGTCGTGCCTCGTCGTGTTGCTCTTGAAGTGGTCCTCGTCTTCGTTCTACTTTTTGCGGTCGTTGCACCAGAACAAGCAGAACCACATCTACTGTGTTCTCTATTTTTCACAAGAGCAACTGCCTTATCTTCTTGTAGTCGTGCTTCTTTTCCATTACTTCTTGTTTCCCCTTGACAACTATTCGTATTTTTACCAGAAGCTGCGCCAAAAAGCGACGTCGATGGAGACGCCACGGTTCGAAGATGGCGCTCCATCAACTTTTCCTCTTCCATATCTCGACTTTGTGTGCGTCGAAAAAAAGGGTGCTCCAAGGCTTCCCTTGCGGAGAGTCGCTTCTCGGGAACCAGATGCATCATTTTCTCGATCAAATCGATCAACTCATCCAAAAGTTCTTCGGCTGGAGCGCCGCCTACTTCTACTTGCTGCTGATTATTTAGACTTTCTTCCTGCGCATGTTCTTGATCATCGAGGTTCTTCTTGTGATGTAGTTGGTCCTGCTGCAGCGCTCCGGTCGATATCTTCTCAAAGAAGTTCCATTTTTTCAGTAATGCGCGAACCCCTTTCGCTTTAAAAAAACGGAAGCCAGATTCGTCAGCAACTGCTTTGCGGAAAAGCGGTCTGCCTGTGAGCATTATGAAGGCACAAACGGCAACGGCGAACATATCGCCAGGACCTGGTAGGTACCAACTCCCGTGGCCGTACATCTCGGGAGCGCGGTAGTAGTGTTTACCCACGAAACCAGAAACATAGACGAGCTTCTTCTGCCTCAAACGGCGAACAGCGGCCAGTCCTTCTTTTGCTTGTTCTAGCTGGAGTTGCAGCAGCTCTTGTTCTTCTTCACGTTGAACTTGAATTAATAGTGCGTGTGCGTCCTCTTCTACGAACTTTTGCTTCTCGAGATCATGATCATTTAAGTCTTCGTCTTCTTCTGGTAGTTGATGTAGGAGTAAGGGTATCTTGGGTAGAGATCCTGGCTCTTCTCCAAAGGACACTCTTGCTGAAGGAGAGATTTTAGAAGTAGAGAAAGTAGAAGAGCAGATGTCTTCAACGTCTGCAAACTTGCCACGATGTTGTTGTTGACGATGACCTTCTTCTACCAAAAATTTCAAAGGGAAATGATAGTAATCATCGTCGATAGTAGACCGTCTGTTTCTGGCTGGCCCTGATGGTGTCCTCGTTTGATGAGGATCAACATCCATAGAAGCAGGCCTTCTACCTGTCCTCGTTCTGTCGTGATGCGGACCGGTTTTAGGACCTCCACTGAGACAAGAAGCTGGTGAGTAATTGTAGAGAGCATTACTAGGAACAAGACAACACTCGGGTAGCACGACACCTGGTGCTCCTGACGTTGAGATTGAGGTAGCTTGTTGAGTTTCATCTTCCACTTCTTGATCACCCTCTACGTCTACGATATCGTGTTGATCCACGACATCCGGCGTTGGATCTCGTACAACCTGTCTCGCAGTTGGAGGCGGCGATACTGACAGTGGCCCACTAGGTGGACTCCTATGTTGATGCTTGATGCACATAGAAGTAGTACTCATCTCCCAACTGGTCTTGGTCAACATGCCACTACCGCCACTCAAGAGTTGCGTTTTCTCTTCAGGCCAGGTGAGAAGAGAATCGCATGTGCGACCCCTACTAGATCTCTTGCTAGGACAGTGGTTGTAGGGTGTAGTAGCAAGAACCGATCCCGCGCGCGTTGACTCAGTCCGTTGCCACTGAAGCTCCTGGTGAGACTTACGAGGATAAGCTCCACCACAACCATTGTAGGATGACGGTAGTAGTCCAGATGAAGATGAGCAAGGTAGTTGTGGACAAGGCAAACCCGGTGACGCTGGAAGGGGTACAACATGATGCTGATGTTGTCGTCGCGTTCGTCTCGGGACAGGGACAGCATGGCAAGAAGCTAAAGGTGATGCTGGCTCTGTTGTGGAACCTCTACCACGGCTTCTACTTGCGGCTGCATAAAGGCGCAAGGCAGCAGCCGCATCTTCTGCCTTGCGTTTCTCTGCTTCCTCAGCTAGTGTCCGTGAAAGACGCGTACCACCGAGACAATCATAAGGCAAATAACAAGAACTATAATAGTTCTTGCTGCAGGTGTTCTTATCTCTGCTCCTGTTACCGCTAGATCCTTCTACCACATCAACTTGTTTCATCTCGTCTTCATCCGAATCAGTATCAGACACATAGTAATAATGATCATGCTTCTCTTCTCCTTCGTCAGTACTCCACCCAACATCTACTTCTGAGAAATCGTCTTCATTCTCGTCGCTCGCTTCTTGCTCGACTACCGGAGCAAGATGAGCGGAAGATGATGTCTTCTTAGACGTCTTTGCCTCCATATTGCTCCTGTTGTCCATGTCCCTCTCTATCTCCTCGCTTATTCCCTTATGCTCGTCGAAGTCGTACATCTTGCACGCGACGCCCAAATCCATCACTCGTACGAACCGGTCTAGAGGCTCCTCTGTGAGCAGAACGTTTTCTAGTTAGAGGTATATCGGGAATTCATCTCACAAATCATCTGGATTCCTTTTCCTTCAAATTTTCTGAGTCCCGATGACTTTGATGGAGATGCACTTCCTCCTATACTCATAATCTAGAGAGATGTCTCGATGAGCGATGCCCCGATCATGCATGTAGGAAACCGCATCAAGCATCTGCCTCAAGATAATGCGGATATGTGCTGCACTCAAAGTGCCGTGTTGTTGCACCTATTAGAAGATGCATCCTCCTCCATCCTAGGAAGCTGTCTCTCTCTGCTCCCCCTTGAAGAAAAGCAGGAGACTCTTCAGGAAAGTAGATGGCTTTCAAAAACAAGATGGATCATTAGGATGAAGGTTCTAGATTGAAGGTGCATAGGTCGAGAAAGTAGATACTTATATTAGTTAATCAACTTCTTCTTGAGAAAAAATTAAGGAGCAGCTACCCACTAGTACGTACTACTTCCAGCTTTATTAAAGGTACTACTATTTTATTATAGTAACTAAGTAGTATTAAAGCTAAATAGTTCCCAGCCTTAAAGATAAGTGAAGAGCTCCCCGCGGGCACAGTACTCCGAAGCCAGATAGGTGTAGTCCGTGTCCATCCACGAACCGTAGCTTTCTAGTAAATTCGCGCAATGGAAGTCGGCGGAAGTTGTTGTTGTTGTTGTTGTTGTACTAGAAGAAGATGATGGAGCAGGGGAAGAAGAAGTAGAAGTATCCCTATGCTGTAGGTTGTTGTACACCGCGTGATCAATTCTTGGACAATTTTGCGAAAGGAACGCTGATGCTGCGACCTCAATCACTGGATTCTCTCCGTGCGCATCCGTGCCCCCAGTATGCCGCTCTACCAATCCCTGATGCCGACAGATGCCGTCAGCGACTGATACGGAGTTACATAATCTTTTCACTACGACAGTTTTTTTTAGACCTTACAATATATAATTCATCTCGCAAAGCATCTTTCACATGTAGTTTTCCCGTTGAAACCATTTCAAAGATGCATGCTTCTTAAGATGAATTTGGAGAGATTTGGGGAACAAGCCTTAATTTTTGACTCGGATAGTGGTAGCAGAGAAATACGCGTCCGTAGTTGGCGTTTGCCAACTTCTTGATCGTCAACCAATCCTGAGGGAACCGCTTCGGGCTCCGGAAGAGACCACACTCGGGTCGAAAATGCGCATACTCCAGCATCGGACTCGCACGCCGAACAACACCTGTATTAGACCTTTCCGCACCTAATCTTTCAGCTGCATCCTTAAATATGGCTGAGTATCTATGTTCCTGTGATACTCCACCACACAAACAACTACTCAAGGACGCAGTCAAAGATGAATTAACTACAGGCTTAACTATAGGCATCCGGCGACGCGGCAGCAGCTTGTAATCATCCTCATCGTTCACAAGAAGGTCTCCACTAGGTCTCGGTCTGGAGTTTCTTACGACTCTCCTGTCTTTGCTGGTAAGTTTAGAGGTAGGCTCCTTTTGGTGTTCGTTTACCCCGTTTGTTATGCCGCTCTCCCATAGGAGAGACATAACAAACGCTAACAGGAACACCTTTAACCACCTACCCTTAGAAGTTGCGTTCTTGGAACTACCGGATAGTGTACGTCTTGTACCTGGACCTGGTACTTGTTCCTGGTGAGCCGGATTTTCAGAAATGCGTAGTTCTTCTTGTTTAGTGGTTTTACTTCTACAAGAAGTAGCACTAGTATTATCCTTGTTCTTGCGGTTCAACTGAAAATGTGCTCCACCACCAGACGAGTTTCGATCTTCCTTCATCCAGCACATGGAATTATTATTTTTCATGCATGTTATACCATCATCTGTGGTCTTCGTCGTCCGCTCCTTCGTTTTTTAGACCTCACTCTTATTCATATTCATCTTGAAATGCATATGCATCTTTAACTTATCGTTATCCCCTTGCAAGGACGTCAAGAAAGTATAAATATGCCTCTTCTTGTGAAGATGAATTATAATCAAAGTTAGGAGCCTTAATTCGTCGTCCGTGGACTTCTACTTGGTGGAGAAGAAGTACGTCGAGTGTGGTGTGGTCGAGGAGCTTTCTGTCTTCTACCTGTTGATGTGGTTACACGGTGTCCTTGTCCACCACCACCTGCTAGTAGTGCAGCAGCTGCATTAGTACCATTGTAATTCTCAGAGACAACTTCTTGTTTGATGCGATCATGATGATAAGGATTGTGGTAATTCACCTTCTGAGGATGTCTAGAAAAGGAAGGTTTTCTTGTCCACTGTTTTCCAACACTAACATGTAGTTGAGGTGGATGTCTATGCGTCGTCCTCCGTTGTTGACTAGTTGTATGCCACGTCCCCCGTTGTTCTTGTTCTCGATGTTGCCATGATGAAATTTCATCGCTCGCTCCGCGCCATTGAGAAGTTGTTGTACCAATGTCATCGGCTCCGTACATAACAGAGTTGGAATCGGGAAGATCCCCCGCAGCAACGTGCTTTTGCTGTAGAAGTACTTGATTGCGGTCGACCATTATTTTTGATGTGCTACTACGTCGGTCTCGGTAGGTATGAAGAGAACAATCAAGAAGTGCTTTTTTAAGTAGTATTAGTAATTATCATTATCATTATTATTATGGGTGGATGTTATTATCATTATTATTATTATCATTGTTATTATTAGTAATAGAAGGAAAATTTATTAGAGACAGAAGATCAAGATAACCAAGAGATAACATGCTAGATTCGATAACAGATACTCAGGAGACAACAGGTTATCATCTTCTAGACTGGAGTTGCCGTATACCTTGTCTAGAAGCTGATAAAAGGTTGGTATGTTGGTACCGAAAAACAAAAAGCAGCCTCCCTTATTGTTCAGTCAAGTTCAAGTTCAGCCCCGATTTACTTAGTCTGTTAGAAACTCCCTTATTTCAGTCTACGTCCTCCCATATTTCAGTGAGCAATTCCTAAGAGTTTGAGTGTAGCAGAGTATCGACGTTTTCTTTGTTTACTTATACTTCGATTAGTGAGTTGTAGTGCTTTGTAGTATATTTTTTGTCTTATGCAGCTTATCCAATATTCTTGTGAGGTTACGTTTATGGACTCAAGCGGATGCACCAATTACCTAGTTGAGCTTGGTTCCTTTTTCCTAGAATCGACCGATTTCTTTCCTAGATCCGGCGGATTCC